TTGGTTCTCGTGCAAATTTTTAATATGTAGATTTTTATTACTGTTTTTAACCTAAAGTAGACTAGAAGTGTAACAGCAGAGTAATTCTCTGAAATAACCTTAACTGTAGCATGCAGTTTTGAAAGTACTTTTAATGTAAAATAAAAATTTATTGCATATTAGAGTGGCTTAGGAAGCGGGGTCCTGCCCCCTCCCCACTTTTCAATCTATCCCAATAAAAATGCATAAAAATTAGAAAAATTACTCTCAGGAAAAGCAATAGAATGCATAAAATTTAATATAGAACCCTGGACCCCGGCCGTCATGAATGCGACTATAGCACACATTCCCTAGCATCGCTCGGTCAAATGAACCTTTAATTTGCTTTTTACACATCTGATGTTATATTAATATTTTGTTGTCAAACAGCTGTATATTACAATAAAAGTAAATATAAGCAAAAATTATCTCAGTATTAATAGAGTTCTTATCTCACGGAAGGCTTCAGAAAAAACAACAAAAAACAACGAAAGTTTTTAGCACTCGTTCCAGTGTTGTGAATCACGAGACAAGATTATTATTTCGTAAACAATATATATATATAGTACACATTCAGGATACTGTGGTGACATCAAAGGTTGTTGAACACTTTTTACCATGATTATTTTTCCAACCATATCGCGCGTGACCTTCAACTAATTCTAAGGTCACTATTTCAAGTGCAATCACTCTTGTCTTTCTTAAAAGTCCGTCAATATTTTGGAATATCCAATGAATTTTGGTTGCACACTGTTTCTAACATGTTTTTAAAGTAACGTGTTTACTTACTTCAATTAACCTTCTCATACTGTTATATTCTTTAAGGTCCGACATGGCCAGGTGGTTAGGGCACTCGACTAGCAATCTGAGGGTCGCGGGTTCGAATCCCCGTCTCACCAAACATGCTCACCCTGTCAGCCGCGGGGGCGTTATAATGTGACGGTTAATCCCACTATTTGTTGGTAAAAGAGTAGCCTAAGAGCTGGTGGTGGGTGGTGATGGCTAGCTGCATTCTCTCTAGTATTTCACTGCTGAATTAGGGACGGCTAACGCAGATAGCTTTGCGCGAAATTCAAACATAAACATATTTTTTAAAAAGTTTATGAAATGTAAGCATCACTCGAATAATCGGTTATTTAATTAATTCTGAAAAATAAAACAAAATGCTCTAATACTATATATTAACGTATAAACTTTTTCTTCTTCTTAGTCTACTATTCGTAGTGTCATAAGCTAACGTAAGCATATTCAATATCCTGTGCCATTTCATAATGAATACGTATGTGGAAATGTTTATTCTTAATTCGTAAATGTTTGTTTGTTGTTAAGCACACAGCTATACAATGGACTATCTGTGCTCTGACCACCATGGGCATCAAAACCCGATTTCTAGAGTTAAAAGCCCTCGGAAACAATTCCGAAATGTAATGTCTGTGTCTAGCATTACTCAGGGAGAGATTGGTTTTATAAGTTAGCTGTACCTTTTCCTGCGGTTTATTTGTCAAGTTCTACAATTAAATGTATTTCCTAAGTTTGTCACATGTTTGTTACAACTTACCTCAGATTTGGCAGATACAAAGTTAACTCAGGTATATAGTTATTCTGCTACAACACATCTGTATCAAGTTTTAGCTGAGTATAAGCGTTTGAAAATTAAAAGCAGAAAATTTACTATACTCGGTTATTAATTTTTTTGCAACTAAAACAGATCGCTTTTTTGTTTTTGCTATGTCGCGTCGTTATATGTATTCGCATGTATCACTTGAAGTAACAGTGACTAAGGTATCACATGTCTTTATATTTTGATGTTAAATCTCAATATACTTTTGTCAAGAAAACCTAAGTTTTAGCTTTATAAGTAAATGTAATATTGAGGTAAGAACGTAAATTCTGTTTACATATTTTAGAATTTGCTTGCAGTCTGCTATAAGAAACGATTTCTTACTCAACTGATTACTGACTTATCTCATTACCAATTCTTTTGGGGTTAAAACTAATATATATACATATTTACATAATAAATTTCTCCCGCAGTAGTGAGTCTAAATATAAGACAAATATGTGACATCGGTATTAATATTATAGGCTATTTACATGTTATACACCATTTTATACTACATGTATTATTCATTATCTACATTTTAATTGTAGTTAAATTAAAAGGTAACAACTTTTATATTTGCTAATAACATGTTCAAGTTTTATAGAATCGTTTGTGTGTACAGCTATAACAATGTTCACAAGTGAATTATGTTTAATAAAAATGCTCTAATTAAATTGTTTAAAATGTATTCGCCAGGTTTTTCGATGTCAGCCAACGACTATAAAATCATGAAAAATGCTCGTACTAGTTAATTCTTCATAATGAGATACCTCTGACATTAAGTCTAAGCATGATATCGTAGGTGAATTACAGTTGTCTTTGACGTCAGTATTTTCGTGGGCGTATTGTATGCTCACTACTTATTGGGACTTCAACTTTGTTTCAACGCCTACACAAATACTTCTAGTAAATTTAGCTATCTACTAATTTCGTTTTGAGTTTACTGATAAAGTATATTTTATTACAATTTACAGCTTTTACAGTAAGTAAGATTAGTTTTTAGAACAGGTACGACGTTTCGATCACTGGTCTAATATTCGTGTTAAAAATTACATTAAATTGCAAGCGTTATTTTCTTCACATTCCTCTTCTTCTTCATCAGGATTCGGTCCATGTTTTGGACCAGAGAGGGTCAAGTTCAGCGTAGACCTCTTCCTCCTCTCAATATGTCCATTTCGCATTCAAACCAGACGCATCTTAAAAGTATCATTTCAGATCTGTCCTTCGCCTGCCACAAGTCACTCACTGCCCAAGATGTCTTATACGCAAAACCTAGTTACGTTTGAATTTGAAAGCTGGCTAAATATTACAAAGTAATAGGCCTAATATTCGTGTCAGTAGTACTTGATAATGATTGCACCAGTGATCGAAACGTCGTACCTGTTCTAAAAACTAATCTTACTTACTGTAAAAGCTGTAAATTGTAATAAAATATCTCCTAGTTTTTTTTTAAGTCAGGTAGAAATATTTGTCGTTGTTGATAATTAATTTAGACAGGCGTATAATTTTGTTTAGATAAACATTTTCAGCAAACATAAAATATGATTTTATGAAACTTTCTAATTCATATGGGAAATATCGTGTACCTAACTAAATCTAATCACTGTCTAATCCAAGAGTGTAGGAAGCATACAAGAAGTAATACAACAATTCTCAAAGTAAAAACTATATGCAATTATGCATAGATACCATTGTAATGTCAAAACTGAATTAACTTAATCAATAGCTTTAAAACGATTATATAGTATCTATCCGTATTATTGTAAACAAAACGTGCTCATATAGTTATTTGCATTGCTCATATGTGATAAAACTTTTCAAACAACTAGTTTAAATTGACTGTAATGCACAAACAGTGGGAAAATTTACATCTTAAAGAAAACTCATTTATTCACCAAGCTAAGGTTTGAATGGTGCAAGGTGGTGCAGCACATATGATTCTAACAGGTCTAATATTCCTGTTAAAAATTATTTTAAATTACAAGTGTTATTTTATTCATATTCTTCTCAATGTGTCCATTTCGGATTCAAACCAGAGGCATCTTAAAACTGTCGTATACGCAAAACCTAGTTATGTTTGAATTTGAAAGCTGGTTAAATATTACAGAGTAATAGGCCTAATATTTATGTCAGAAATCATATTGGACTGCAGGTGATTATTTTTACCATTTTCTATATATGTGAACAAATTATATAAAATACAAAAGTTAAATAAACTATTTATTCGTTCAAAAGTAAACAATCTAAACATAAGGGTTGTTTTTGCTTTATTTGATAGAGAAAGTAAGATATATTTTATAATAATTATATATAGGATTGTAGTTGTAAAAATTTTTATTAGAAGTTTAAAATAGTAATAGATTTAACAACTAAGAAGAGTATTTAGTGGAGGTTGATCAAGCGCCGGCAAACCAATTCTCCGGTCACTGCAAGACCTATAGATGCGCGCACCAAAGCTTGAGTCAGAGGGACAGAGTGCCAGCAAACGTTATTGCCCTCTGTCTCACGTTTCGCAGAATTACGTGTGTTTTTGTTTTTTTTGTTTTTTTTATTATTAGCGCCATTCAATTTCCTGCTGAGTACTTCTACGGAAGTTTTGTAACTGATAACTGAGAGTTTGTTAATATCATTGTTTAATGCTATTACTTTCTAAAGAATTATTATTGACTACATTTTTTAGGTTTTGCAAAGAAATCTTCTCTATCTATTTTGTTTCTTTATAAAGTATGTAACCGGCCGTGACACCTATAGTATATATATATTTACGTTGGCGAAAAGGAGCCTGAATTGGAAAAGTTACATGTTGATTTTTGAATAAACGCATTAAAAGTTTTAGCATTTAACTATAAGCGCTTTGTTCTAAATAATGAAAGTCCGAAGCTAATTTAATAATATTAAAAACCCAATAGTAATATATACAGTCTGTAGGAATAGATATACCGGCACTCGAATTTCGATTTTAAGTAGTGGAAACTGGAATGAAACATTCATGTTGCGTTATATTACTTATTAATACATATTATATTGTTTGTTATTTAAATATTGTGACAATATAACACACAGTTAAACCTGTACAAAGTGTGGAAAAAAGAAAAACGTGATTGATTTTTTTTGAAAATATGCATTAACGTGTCAAGGAAGCTTTGATTTTCAATTTTAACTATTACTATTAGTATTAGTTTGAAGTCACTTTTATTTTTAACTTACATTTTACAGAAGTTCTAAACATATTTCATTTGCACTGTTTTAACAATTAGCTTTTTTCTTCTAGGGCTTGCCATTATGTACTATTGATAGTCTCAGTGTGCCCTATTAGTATTATCTGATGGAATAGCTAGTGCTAGGTTAGTTAACTTTTTTAATTCTTTTTCCCGAATAGACTAGAAGTGAAGTGTACTCGACACATCATTAGGGTAATGAATTTTTGGATATGGGTGATCACAAGAAATGTACCCTAGACAAGTTTAGAGGTAAGGAGTTTGGGATTCATCAAAATCATTCTCTTTCATAATATTATTTCTTTGAAGGCAATCAGACTAACTGTTGTCAACATAACTTGATATATTGGGAAACTGGAAAACCAGGTAATTTGATAATCGATTTCATCATAGCCAGAATAATCAGAGTTAATGTTACTATTGTTAGTAATTGTTACCAGAGTAATCAGTGTTAAGGTTTTGCCTGAATAACCAGTTTCAAGATAACCTGATTATCAGAATAAGGTAATCTTTTTTTTAGGGGTCAGTTAAGCAACAGAGTTCAGAGTTTTTCTTTGAAATTTTATTTTATGGTCATTATTGTACACACTTATTTTTTATGCTGCATTAAAACTTGAAATTATGTCACTTTCAATGAAAAATTACCAGAATTTTATAAGATATTGGTGTTTGTATCATCATATTGGGAAACATGTAGTTTTATATTTTACTTTAAAATGAGGATATTTAACATATTTCATTATTTAATTTATTCTATGCATTAGAACATTTTTAGAAAGCCAGTCCTGTGGCCATGAGACCAGATTTATCAATAGTGGATTGGGATAATGAGTTAAAAAGATGATTTATATAGATCTGGGAGATTTTTAAAAATAAAAGCTTTTAATTCAAAATAGGTAAGCTCCTTAAAGAAAAAGGAAAAGGATCAAAGGGAAGACCAAACCTAACTGGCTTACTATTAACATAAAGGAGAAAATTGGGGATAATAAATGACATACATTTAAGAAGTTTAAATTACAGATAAGTTGAAAGACTTATAGGACTACAGGAAAGCTAGGGATTTGGTTAAAAAAGAAATGAAGAAGTCCAAAAGGGTGTATGAGAAACAGCTCTCCCTTTGTTAATGTTAAAACCAACAGCAACAATTTTTTTAACTATGTTAAAGGTGAGTAAAATGTTAAAATGGGGATAGTGCCTTAAAGGATGCTAATATCAAGATTTTTGTTGCAGATTATGAGATGACTGAGTTTTTAAATGTTCTCTTCTGTTTTTACCAGAGAAGATATTAGCAACATTCCTGACCTTGAGCATTCTATGGGAAATATTGTAATTGATCTGAATTATATATATATATTAACCTTTTGGTGATAAGTAAAAAGAATGAGAGATTAGAAATAAACTGCTAGGACCAGACAAAATTTTCCTCATGGTTTAAAAGAAGGTCAAAGATCAGATCTGTGTTCCTCTTTTTCATTTTTAATAGGTCAGTAGACAGTGAGCAGGTGTCCAAGGATTGGAACATTACTAATATTTCTTCTGTTTTTAAAGGGAAGTGATATTAAAATACTTAAAATTAAACACCAGTTAATCTTTCTTTTGTAATGGGAAAAGTTGTAGAGAATCTGATAAAATATGTCTTTCAAAATCATTTTGTGAAATACGGATTTACCAAAAGAAAATTCTGGCGTACTAGTTTATTATCTTTTTGTTTAAGGGTGTATTATTGTTATGGAAAGGGCATGGAGTTGGAATATATACTCATATATCCAAAAAGCTTTTGATGATGTGGTACTAAAAAGATTAACCAACAAAATATTATTTCTAAGGACTGGGGAAAGACTAGTTAATTGGATTGTAGCATGGTTGGTTTGGAAAAAGCAAAAGCTTGTTATTAATAGAATTCAGTCAAACTGGACTTATTATTGTAGTGTTTCAGGGATCAGTGCTTGGACCTTTACTTTTACTTATAATGACATTGAAATGGACATAATTAGTAAATTGAATTCTATTAATATAAGAATTGCATCGATGAAGAAATTACAAAATGTAGAATACAATATAATAATGGTGAAAGCTTGCCAAATTTAAATAACTATTGGTGAACACAGAAGCAACATTTCTTGTTCATCAATGATGTTATTTTAATTTAGCAAGCTTTTCACCATTATTGTTTTTTATTCTGTAATTAGTAAATTGGTAAAGTTTGCTGATGACATTAAACTCTTGGGTATTTGTAGCTGTATTGAGGATGTTAAGGTATTACAGAACTACTTGAATCAATTGATAAGTTGGACATATATTTGACAAATGACTTTTGATTATAGTATGATCAAGGTAATGCACTTTGGTTATGATTTGGATTACTTATGTTGTATAGATGGCATAAGTTCTGGCTCAGACTATAATAGTCCTGTTGGCTTTTTAGGAGCCTGTTTTACTGCCAAGCAGCCAAACCATTATAAATAACATTTTCATAAAATATCATGAAGATGCATTCTGTTGTAGCTTTGTACAATTCACCAATTCATAAGTCAACGTTCACAAAAAAGGAAAAATACATTTTTTAATCAACCCCCACAGTTACATAAGGTACTCAATATCACTGAAAACTTTTCTGATCAGTTTATTGCTTTCGCTTATAGAAAAGTTCTATAAATTAGCTTCAATGTCTGCTTTCAAATACTTCTTTACATGTATTGTTCCAGCCTGCTTAGAAATGTCTCACAGAAACTGCAATTTGGTGCCCCCTTCTGAGCTTGAGAGGAGCAACCACTGCCCCATCTCCTCCCTACAAATGATGTTTCTACCTGAATGTTCTCTGCAAGGTCAGCACACAGTATTTGGTTGGGCTGTCAAGGCAGACTAGATTCATAGTATAGATGTTGAAGAGGAATGGTGAGAGTGATGTTCCTGGAGACAGAACACTGTTGATGTTAATTCAGTCTGTTTGCTTGCTTTTATACTTCATGATGTATTTTTGGTACTTATTGCAGCTATGACCCATTTTACGCATTTCACAATGACACTTATTTTGAGTATTTTTAAGCAAAAATGGGCAGTTGGATTCTGTTGTAGGCATCTTCCAGATCTAATGGGTTCTGAATAGCTTATAAGCCTTCCTATATATCAGTTACAAATTTAGCAGCATTGTTCCAGGTTTCTCTTCCACTGTGTTAAACACCTAATAATGATAGTAGTAATGGCTTAATCTGATAGACAAGCCTTCTCTGGTATCTTTCCAATGATGTTTTGTAGGATGATGATTTGATGGTCTTTCATGGATTTGATTAAGGGTTTGATAAAGGCATCAGGCCATATTTCAGAGATACTTTTTGTTGCCCAGCTACATTGATACTCCAAAACTAATTTCAAAGTTGGCTTCTATAAGTTTCTTAAAATGGAGATTGTTACACCTTCCAAATCTGAAGTTCCATCTTTATTTATGGCTTTTTTGTATTTTGTCCAAGCTAAAGATAGCTTCCATATCTACATGTACTTGTAGCTCAGATATGTATTGATATAGCTTGAACCTCTCCTACAAGAAACCATGGTCACACTAGTTGATGTATCTGTGCTTTATATTCCTCATCTAGTGCATAATTATTCTTTCATGGAATTAATAGGTCATCTGTACAGAGGTTGAGTAGGTTATAATGATTTTGGAGTCTCATCATGTATCTTGACAATAACCATGCAGTACAGTTTCCATTATAAACAATTTCACTGTAATGCTGTCATATCAAAACCACACCACTACACCCATCTTTCCTTTCATGGATGAATATGTCATGGAAGCAACTTGTGTACATGTGAACTTTGTTGCTTTCCCAGATAGAGATCCTTCTTTATTATACAGTGTATTGTTGTCTCTACTTTCTTTACACCTAATAATTCATATATATTTTTAAATAAAAAGTAATAACTAGTTTATTTGTTGTAGAGTTCTATGGGCACTGGTACTTACTTCCAGAATCTACCAATCACTGTGTGACCTGAGAGGAAGGTGTTAATCACCTGTTACCTCATTACTGTGCTCTGTTTATTTGGATCACATAACTGGGCCTTCAAAATTGAGCTAAGAAGTATTTTTCCTCTTGAAGCTGATAGAAATGTTGTTGAGCTGTCATCCTGGGTAATTTATAGTGGTAACTAGAGGTATCTCCACACTTGTATCTGACTGAGATATTTATCACATTATCATTCTGATTAATCTAACTATATCTAAAAACAAATTTTCACTGGTATACAATCAAAGTGTTTATTGCACTGTCATCAGAATAATTTAAAATAACTGGTTATTTGCTGTTCTCAACTAAGCTGTTGGGTATGTGAATGCTTTATTTACTATGTTAACCTCTTTTGACCATGTTTCTCTGTTTCATAGTACAGTTACACTACCTAAGTTGGAATGTTTCAATGGGAACCACTCATTAGCATAATAGAAGAAAAAACATCATGGCATAGTGATGGATAAATTGTTGATGCCATTGAGGCAGTCTGTGTAGCTAGTAATAAAACTAATAGGGTTTGAGAGTATATTTATAGACATTGATTAAAAGTCACAAGAGATAATTACCTCTGTACAGATCTCTAGTTAGACAGACCTGCAATTGAAATAATGTGCATAGTTTTGGTCTTGATTCTTATCTAAGAATGGATATTGACATGTTGGAAAGGGTTTGGAGGAGGACTACTAGGATTATGCTGAGGATGGAAGAGCTATCATATAAAAGTGGTTTAAGATCTCTTATTTTCACTTGAGAAAAGAAAGATAAAAGATGATCTTACTGAAGCTTACAATATTATTTGAGGGATAAATAGGATAAAGGCTTCTGATTTCTTTGTGTTGTATACTGAAGATATAATGATGAAACAGCTTAATTTTACTAACAAGGTGATTGATTTATAGAATGATAGAGTGAGTTATTATCAGCAGTAGAGGCCAGCACTTAACAGGAGTTTAATAGGGACTTCAATTATGTCTGAAAAATATAGAGTTGGTGTGATGTTTTTTCAAGGGTTGGTGTGCAAGGACATCCTTAAAAGACCAATCGTTCCTTGTTTGCATGTTAGTTTATATAATTATTTTTGTGTATCAGAATTTATTATAGCAGTAGTAAAAATTTGATATACATATCTATATATAATTTTCTTTATCTAGGTGATGCACTTAACACTTTTAGTTTTGCTGCTAGTCATTCTAAAGGAAGTTTTGCCAACATTTCTGATGCATCATATCATGCTCGATCTTTGAGTGAAAGTTGGGTCTTCTACAGTTTTATTGGAGGTGTACAGATAAGCTCAAATTTCTCAACGAAAATTCAAAATCCCAACAAGGCAATTGTTACAATAAACGCAAGAACAACAGAGGTACTGTTACAGATAAGTAATACTTCGTGATTTAAAATATGCTAATATAACATTATGATGTATTAGAACTTAAGAAACAATAAGGAGACAGAAGGCCTGTTAGCATATTAAAGTTACTCATAATTGGCAAAAAAAATCCTTATTTTTCATAGCAATTTATCTATTATAGTACATCAGGATGTTAATCAATCTGCCATAACATTGACTTAATTCATGCTAAGGTTCTAAGGCCACCACTCTACAAACTGAGCTACTAGGGCCTGAAGCTCAAGCAGACAATACTCTTTTCAGTTCATTACACATTCCCTTCACATTTAGAATGTCTTCATTTTAACTAATCCTCAACATCCTTGCTCATCCAACTGAGTGTCTTGATTCACTACAAAGCAGCTAAAGTCTTATCATTTTTTATAACACATCAAGTATGTCTTTAATCTCAACACATATCATGTATATCAGTAATTATATCCCAAAAATGTTTATGTATTTTATCATAGCAAACTGTGTAATATTTCATGCCATATTCTATTATTCTTATTAAATTACAGCACATCTGAAATCTAACATAAGGTTTACCCTGTGTTTGTAGTCTGGGTCATCTCTTGTATTAGTAATCTGAAATAAGTAAAAAAGTTACCTTTTGTGACTCAGGCTTGAACTGTTGATCTTATGCTTAAACAACTAAGCTATCAGAATTAGTCTCTAGCAGATAAACCCACCATAACTGTTACACATGAGCTATCTCTTGCATTAGAAAGTAACCTATTCTGACCAAGTCTTGAACCCTGGATCCTAACTGTTACACTATCCAAGAAAACTTTCGAAGACCTCAGACTAATTACATGTATGTCATCTGAAGAACCTTTCCATAAATTAAAAAATAATTTTATCAAAGAACAAATCTGCATCTTTATTTTTGATATGGTATTGTACCTCTACTTACAAATATAGTTATTATCGTTCAGTGCTGCCCTCTATGTGCAAAAATGTTTTGCATGCCACAAGCCTTGAACTCTCACTTACCCCACGATTAATGTGATTCACAGCGTCTTTGCATCTGAATTGTCATACTACAACCCTCCACCAATAGGAGCATGACAGACCCTTCTGATGCATGTGACTCCCTCTATTTTAATTCTACCAAACTATTACTTCTCAGTAGGCAGTTGTTTAGTGCAGATATTTTCAATTGTGCTCATCTCACGTGTTGATTTCTTGTGTTTTCGAAGTAGTGCTATACCATTTATTATCATTTTGCTACAATTGGTTCTCTGTATTTTTTTTTCGACATTAACTTACCTTTGTTCGTTTATTTTTTCGTCTTTTTTAATTTTTCACAGGTGACTATGAATCCCAAAGTTTGTGTTATGACTTCTGATCCCCTTCCCACTACTTCAAATGTGTTTACTCAGGCTTCATGTTGGGGGGTTTCAGTTGAAGATTTTTTGGCCATCATTCATCAAGAGATTGATCTTTATATGAGCTGACCTTCTTCTCCCGCAAATTCTCTCCTCCTGTATTGTTTGAACCTATTCATGATGAGAAGAATTTTGACAGCTTTTTTCCCTCCATCTCATCATGTTCTGCCTTCCCAAGCCTCCCCTTTGGAATCTGCCAGGCTTCCCTCAGCTTTTTTGGACATGATTTCTCAGGTGTGTGTCATTTTATCTCTTTCTCCAGTTCCTTAAGATCCTGTTTCTTCTTTGTTACATGACACACCATCATTAGAGTACCTTGTTTTCCCTCTTTCACATGACATCAGGGTACATACTGAACAGTTTGTTTCTCAATTGAGGGCTGAAGCTATCATGCCTCATCCTCCATGAGCTTGTGATCATTATGCTTTGGCTTATCATCAGGCCAATCAACCTTTTCTCGACTACCACAGCTGGAGTCACTTTTGCCAGTGTGGGGGGCTAACCCTGAGAATCCTATATGTTTGTTCCAAGCCCAGTTTTCTCAATTCCCTGAGGGGTATTTGGAGGATACCCATTCCCTCATTACTTCCCCATTGTCCTCCTTGGTGCTATACCTTCACACATGATTTCTTTACTTTAGGGATCTACTTGGGATGGTTGCTTTCTTGTCCCTTCTTCATATCTTCATGATCTGTGGATGGCTCCTTTTTTTCCATTGGTCTGTCTTTGGAGATATTCTAGAGTCTTTAGAGTCAGTGTGGAATCTGTGAGACAACATTTAACCCTTTCATTTTTGGTTGCTTGTTTGTCTTACCTTGCTACCATGCCTGTTTCCCATCCTTCAACCGATCCTACCACTAGGGGTTTGGCATTCCATCGTGTCTCAGCATCAGGTTCATTGTTGCCAGCTGTTCTGGTGATTATCAGGTGGTTTCTGGTCCAGAGAGGGCATGCCTGGCCAATTTTGTTCACCTGTGGTGAGAGTTCACTCCTGATCTGTGGGTGATCCAGGTTTTGTCAGACAGACTTTTTATCCTTTTCCTTTCCCCTCCTCCAATGTCTTCTGTTACTTATGTCCTTCCCATTACCTCGGGATCCCACTACCAGTCAGCATTTATACGAAGCTGGGCAGACTTTATCACAGTGAGCTATTGAGCTGGAATCCTGTGATTGATCTGTCTCGCATCAACCAGTTTCTGGATCTTCCCCACTTTACAGTGAAAGTCTCACACTTCAGTGGGCCTTTTATCAAGGCCTGTGGATGACCAATGTAGACATCTCAAACACTTATCTCCATATTCCTGTTTCTCATAAGTCCTGTCGCTACCTTTGGTTTGTTCACTATGGGGTTGTGCATCAGTTTTTTGCTTTGCCTTTGCTTCCACCACTACATGGGCAGCTGGCTTCTGTTAGCTCATTCTGAACTGGAGTATTCTCAACACACTCATTTGCTATTGACAGAAGCAGCTCGAGTTGATTGGATTCTCAAGTTGAAGTCTTTCCTGATGACTACCCAGTATCTTGTCCACGTAAGTGTGTTTTTCAACACGTACTTCAGTCAGGCCCAACCTTCTCCACTTCATTTCCATTCGATGGAGCTTTCAGTTTTCCATGCCCTTTCTGTATGCAAGATTCTATTGCCTTTGGGGATTTGGGCTTCCATGGAAGTCCTTATCCTCTTGGGTCAGGCACATATGAATTCTCTTCAGTAGATGTTGCAAAACCAATGGAATCTTGCTCGGGATCCATTGGACTCCACAATTACCCATCCTCCTTCCTTACAGGCAATCTTCATTGATGGATGAACAAGGACAATACAATGATGGGGGGTACCACTTCTTCCACCCTGTCTGGATTTGCATCTGTTCACTGATGCTTCTCTCCAAAGGTATGGGTCAATCGTGGGTTACTTCCGGTCAACGATCTGAGAACAAAATGTTGTATTATATCAACATTTTGGAGCTTCTTACAATACGGCATGCTTTAGATCATTTTCTTACTATTGTATGGAGCCAACTCATCATGATCCACTCAGACAATTTCAAGGTTGTCACCTATCTCAATCAACAAGATGGCACCCATTTCTGTTCCCTTTTTGGTTGAACCTTAGAACTACTTTATTGGGCTCACACACTATGGATATGTCTTAATTGCATGTCATGTTCTGGGTGCTTTCAACCTTATGGCTGATCGTCTTAACTGACCCAATCATGTTTATTCTATGGAGCGGTTCCTCGACCTTGAGGTTTTACAGTGGTTCTGCAATCAATGGAGTACTCCTCATCTGGATGTATTTGCCATTTTCCTCAACACCATGTTACCTCTCTTTTGGTCTCAGGTTTCTCATCCTCAGACCCTTGCAGTGGATGCTTTCAGTCAGGGCTGGACCAACTGGAATATTTATGTCTTTATGGGATGTCCCACCAAAGTTATCTTTGGGCATTGGCTGATCCCAACAATCTTGATGTATAGTCATGGTCAAATATGCACACTGTAGAGATGGGGTATTCCACAAGATTGCTAGTAGGTTTTCCTCATGATCTATTTGCTTCTTTAATATAGCCCATTCTGAACCATACTAACCCATTAACTTACACAGTTAAAACAGAAGTGGATAGCTGCTTTTCCCTACCATCTCTTTGATTGAATAAGTCAGGTGGTCTGCTTTTCGAAATTGAGATTTCATGGTTACCCATTGCACTGTTTATGGTATTGCTCTGGACTCTTCACCATGTTTTCATCCCTCTTGTTCTTCTAGTGGAGTATGAGAGTCCCTACCACTTTATAGTTTCGAGCCACTTGGGTAGTGAACCATGGAGGAGTCTTCCTGAATGTGATTCTTTCACTTCAGTGGAGAGTAGGGCAGTGGTTATTTGCTGGTGTAGAGGGCATTCGATCCTCAGATCACGAACTCCATGTCTATGTGATGGGTTCCAGTGGTCGATGTTGTACCCAGCTACTGTATGGTTCTATCCAGTGGGTGAAGTTGCATATATTTAATAGATACAAACTACTTCTGCACAGTGGGACCTAATGGTTGGTGTTCCACTCCCAGTTTCTGTGCAGTTCTATCCAGAAGGTGAGGTTGTGCATCTTTTACAGAGGCAATCCACTTCTGTGCAGTAGGACTCAGAGGTTGATGTTGTGCTCCAGCTTTCATGCAGTCCTATCTGGAGGATGATGTTGCTTTCAAGTAGATTTTTCACATTGCTGTTCACTCCTCCGATTGGTATCCCTCATTGTATCATCACCTGGATGTCAGTTCCTGGTGAGTGTTTTTTGGATTGGAGCTGGACCAATCAATATAAAACTTCACAGATGTGCTAGTCATGCTTCCTTATCCTCCCTTATTCTTATAATTTAGCCTCATAATCTCCACCTCTGCATGGTTGGTCCCAGAGGTTGAGGTTGCGCTCACATGTGTTCCAGCTTCTGTGTGGTCCTATCCAAAGAATGAGACTGCTCCGGGCAATGATTATTCCTCTGGCACTCCACCTATGGGAGTTTTACTACTTGAGGTGAATATTCCACAGTGTAGAACCAATCTGATAAGGTTTGTATTTGCTATGAACTGCCACACTGTCATATCCTTTCTTACTGTCATTCAGAGGTTGGGTTTCTGGATGACTGATTGTGGTTGTGGATTTGTGCACATGTCATGTTTTGTAGATCGGTTGGGTACATATATCCTTTCTTTCTGTTCAACTTGAGGTGAAGACAATGTGGACCTTCCTCCTACCATGGATCAGAAAATTTATGCCTAATGTGGCTTGGTTTTGGACTCATTGACTGGCTGCATTCATTGTGATGCACCCTAGCCATTCTACGCCAGGGGACACATCCTTATTTTATTTTTTTTGTATGTGCTCCTTCTATTTTCCACCCGTGTATAGAACACCTCTTTCCACACTCAGTGAATAATATACCTTGTACAGAAGTGGTGCAGTCTCCCACATCTGTTCCTCTCCTAATGGGGTTCACACTTCCAGGGTGTTCTTTGGACACTTTTGAAGGATACTTCTCTATATCCCTATCACTGGTCCATCCATCCATTCATTATGGGATTCTAGCTATGTGTGTGAGAGGAGTTAGGATACCATATCAGAAGTTATTATTTTCCTACGTTGAAAATATGTTTCCGATCGGTACTTACCTCTTTAATTCCCACTATTCCTCCCCACTTAAACCCAGTGCTTCCTTTCTGCTTAATCTCAAAGTGACAGTTCAGTAGAATATCGAATAGAGGGAGTCACATGCATCAGGAAGGTGTGTTGCACTGCTATTGATTATGGTTTACATGACGATTTACATGCAAAGATGCTGTGAACCACGTTAATTGGGGGGTAAGTGGGAGTTCAAGGCTTGTGGCATGTGAAAAACGTTTTTGTGTATAGAGGGTAGCACTGAATGAGAATAGCTATATGTGTGTGTAAGCGGAGGTAAGTACCAATTGGAAATATATTTTCAGTGGAGGAAACTTCTAAGGCTTAAATCTATTGCCCTTAATATTTAAGATTCTATTTCCAATCTTTCTAGCCTATCACTTAGATGATGTATAAGAAGACTTTCCAAACCTCTATCAATTTTGAACACCTGAATCAAGTCCTCTCCCTAATTTTTCAGTGCTTCAGAGAAAATAAGTTCAAAACTCTGAGCTTTTGGTCCTTATTGAAATGACTTAAAAACCTTTCCAAATTTCTACATTTGGCCCATTCATTAAGACTGCTAAAGCCCTTTTAGATAAGAGAAACATTTTCAGCCAAATCAGATCATTCCAAAATTTTAATATCAATGCTAATTCAGAGATATTATTAATCAAGATGCTATCCAAGTCATTAACATAAAAAATAATGAACAAAAATTCCCATTATACCCATCTATCATTGTTATTTGTTTTCTACTACTACTAAACGTTTTTGTTCACCACTTTTCCAATCCCATAATTATTCAACTTACTGATTAATCACTTGTGAAGCACAATAGCAAAGAATTGCCCAAAGTAAATATGTACAGTGTAGACTGATAACTCTCATCCAAAAAGATAGAGGCTCTAACTATCAAAAATCTTCAGGAAATTAGTAAGACAAGAAAATGCTTTAAATTTTATAGCCATATTGAGAATCAATGATTAAATGCTGTCTTTCTAAAAGCTTTCATAAATTTCTAGAAGCTAGAATTTCCCAGAGCTACTAAAGTAGGTCTGGAAAACTCTAGACCCTTTCTTTGTAAAGATAATAATTGAACTGTCAATTTTCCAATAATCAGGAATTTCTATAATTTCTATAATTTTTATAGATATCCTAAGAATAAAAATGTTTCTAATCTTTTAACTTTTAAAGTGTATTATTTTGATAGTAAATACACTTGTTATATATTATATATTATATAACAAGTGTAAATTATTCAAATGTATATGTAAATTATTCTGATGGTTAGAAAATAAGTAAATCCTTTTAATAATGTCAAAAAGATCATGAAGCAAAATTGTAACAATTATTAAATAAGAATTTTGTATTGCGGTTTAGAAAGTAATTAATTTGTCTAATTTTTATTACCTTTACCTATCAGATTCTTTGGAATCAACTATTACTGGACTGTTAGGCTTGTTTTTATTTCATTTTTTCCTTTTCAGAATTGACCAGGGAATTTCATAGACAGATTATTTTTTGAGGAAGAAACAAACGTTTTCTCTTATGTTTTACTATTACATTTTAAGGGAGGAATTTAATATATCTCAACTTATTTTCATTAATATATGTTCCTAATTATGTTTGCTATTTTTTCAGATTCTTGTTGCAAACAAAATGGCTTGTCAGTTGTTTGGTGTTAATGGTTCAGAACTGCATGGCAAGAAATTGTGTGATTTTTTCTCAAAGAGAAAAGGCCAGTATATTCTGACTGAAACTGAATTAGAATCTAATGGAGAGTTGGTTGTGATATCTGGAAAAATAGTAAGTAATTAATGTTATGTTTTTCTTCTACTGTCTAATGCTTACACATTTTTAGTTTCAAGATAATACCACACTTCTCCACACAGTTAAGCTATCTTCCCCATGCTTCTGCCTTTTCCCTGTTCACTTGGCTCATTGTCGTTGGGAATTGGTTCAACTTCCTTCTACTTTTCTACAAGATCTTTGACTAGACCCATTTCTTTGCCCTGACGTTTTTTGGGGTATTTCTGATTATATTGAATCATGGGCAGAGGCTGCCTATCATCTATCCTTGCTTTCATCTTTAATTTCTACACTTTCCCAAACCCAATCCTCCATATCTGTACCTTGACCTTGTCCCTCTGTTCCATGTCTTTCATTCCCACTCTCTGACCTTCCTTTTCTACTTGATGTCAGACTTTTCAATGCCTACCAAGTTGAGTATGGTCCCATGTGGGCCTGTCTGTCACAGTTTGTACACCTGTGATCACACTTTTACATAGACAGAGGGATTACTCTACTTCTTACCAATGGGTTTTCTCTCCAGTTCTCTTCTCCTCCCCCTCTCAGCCCTCATCCTATTTCCTTTCCTCCTCCATCCAGTCCCATATATCTACATTGTCTTGAGGAGGAGGTGTTTTGTCAACCATTCCATTTGGGAGTTTATTTGGGAGTATTTTTCAACTTCTTTCTCAGCTGTGCTCAGCTTTCTCCCAATCATCTTGCAAGTTATGGAAGTACTAGTCATCAGGATTTGCATTACGGCTACTGCTTGAGAGGTTTTATCGCTTTTAGGGACTTCACTGGAATTGCTTATCCCCTTGGGTCTTACACATATGTACTTTCTCCAATGGTCCCTACAAAATCAGTGGAACCACTCATGGGTACCTTTGACCTCAATAGTTACCTGTCCCCTCCCCTACTCAAGGATCTATATTGGTGGCTGGACTGATCCAATACCACCATTGATGTTCCATTACTTCCACCAAAACTGGATCTGCACCTTTCACTGATGCCCCTCTCTGGTTAGGGAGCATGTCTGAATGACAATTTCACATCAGTTACATGAAGCCAGGAGGAGTCCTTTTTCCATATCAATGCACTTGAACCTTTTGCAGGCCATTTGGCATGCTCCCATTTCTTACTCCTCCTTGTGGATCGTATCATTGTGATCCATTCTGGCATTTCCACATTTGTTTCCTATATCAACTGCCAAGAGAGTACCTGATCCTGTACCTTTTGCTTTCAAACCCTGGACCTTCTTTATTGGGCCAATCCTTGATGGGTTCATCTTAGTGCATGCCATGAACCAGGTTCTATAAACTTGGATGCAGACTGCCTGTCTCAGCCAGATCATTTTCTGCCCACAGAAAGGTCACTTCACCCTCAGGATTTCTGTTGGGTGTGCTTTCTCTTGGAGGCTACATATTGATATCTTGCTATCCTCCCTCTCAATTCCAAGCTTTCTCTCTTTTGGTCTCCTGTTCCTCATCCCTAGGCTCTGGCTGCTGATGTTTTCAGACAGGACTGGTCTCACCTTTCCTTTATACATACCCATTTCTCTGTCTTTTACCCTGGTTCTAGCCTTGATTCAAGACTTTCCTTGTTCCATCATATTAGTGGCACCCATCTAGCCAGCTCAACCTTGATTCCCTTTTTTACACTGGCTGACAACCCAACCTGTTCTTCCCCTGCTATTATATCCTATCTTTTGCTTCAACCTTGCACATCACTGTTCCATATGGGATCTTGTCCATCTTACTTCACGTTGGGATTTGTCTAATCCCTTGCCCATAGCACTGAACTCTCAAAATGTATAGCTTTTTTCTTTCTCATTCCTGTTGTCCATCCACTTTGTCCATCTACCAGCTTAAGTGGTATGTCTTTTGCAGTTGGTCCATCTTTCATCGGCTTTCTCCTGACTGTTTTACTGTCTGCCTTCTCACCTCTTTTCTTTGCCTGTCTGTTTGACTGTGGATTAACTGTCTCCACCATTGCTGGTTATCATGCAGCCTCCTTTCTCAATACTGCAGGTTGTTTTCCTCCCTAGTTCTCTCCACCTTGCTCCATTCCTTCCTTCTCCATAGACCCTTGTCCTGCTCCCATGCCTGACTGAGACCTCAGTGTCATTCTGTTCACTCTAACCCATGAACTTTTCAAGCTGTTTGCAACTTGCACATTATACCACATTCTCTCAAGACCTATTTCTTCTTACATTTCTCCTGTGATCACTGTTGTTTGGAGAGTTATGCTATCGATTCTTCCCATACCCTCCTCCATTACTCTTATATTCTTCTTTATTCTGACCAGTTCTTCCTCCCCAAGACTTGGCCTCTCAAGCAGTTGATCATTCTTTCATTCCTATTTTCTTTCCTTCGATTTCTCACCTCTACAATCAGTCAAACCCAGACAGACTATTGTGTCCTGTTCATGCCATTTGTTGTTACTTACCTCTTACCTCACACTTTCTAAGCTCCTGTTATTGACTCAATTCCCTGGGATTCCTCCAGGGACATTTCTTTTTTTACACTTACAGGTTGGGTCTGATTAATTTTGAGTTTAGTCTACTCCTCATTGGGGGTTGATGCTTGCAGACTGTTCCATATTCTTCCCATCAAATTCATCACCTCTCTCATTCCTCTACTTCTCATATCCAATGGTCGCTGGACAAGATCCTTCAGGCAGGCATGTAGACTATTACCTACACCTTTGTTACCCACTATCTTTACCATCTGACCATCTCATCTTCTGAAGGTTACTGCCTGCCTCCATTCACCATTTTATGGTCTACCCACTGTCTCTAGACTGGTGAGTACTTTTCCCTTTTCTTTTTTAGAGTATTCTATTATAGGATCCTGCCAGGTGGTGCCTCTCAGGGTATGCTTTTTTCCAGAAAATCTGCATTGAGCCAGAATAATGGAAAACATACATACCAATAATGCTTATTCCATGTATGCCTACTGGGAGTTGGGTGTTCCACAAGACCACTTGAGGTATCCTTGTGGTGTATGTATCTATCTGACTGCTGTCCAATCCAGACTGTACCTGTTTCATGGACTATCATGAAAAAATAGCCTGCACCAGGTTGTGTTCTGCCTACTTCCCTGGCTCCTGCTTGCAAGCTTTTCAAATAGGACTACTTGGTCACCTGTTACATTGTCTACAGTAAAAGATCTTTCTGGCTGAAGGATCGATGGGGATCCAGACATTTTCTCCAGATCTCCCCCTGCAAATTCCCTCCCCCTTTTTTCTTCTAGTTGAGCACAGGAGACCCTTGCCACTTACCAGTTCTTAGCCACTGGGTTGGAGATCATGGAGAATTCTCACTGATTGGGACCTAACCACTAGGCTAGAATAAGGGTTGCCAGTATGGTGGGAAAGTAAGGTGATGATGTAGTGTCAGTGTAGCACAGGTCATTCCTCATATAGCTATACCACATGCCACTTGTGCCTGTCTCCTCTGGCCTGTGTCTGTTGAGTTGAAGTGAGCACACTAAAAAACCATGCCCTCCTTCTGCAGCAGATGACTGTTCAGTTGAGTTGAGGTGTGCACACACCACATTACTCTCTATGGCATGGCTGTTGTGTTCTCCTCCTGCAACTGGTGTCAGTCCAATAAAGTCTGACAGTAGAGTTGGGGTTGAACACAAGGTATTGTCAGAACAAGCTCCAACCATGCTACACATATTGGCTCTCTGACCTCTTGTGTGCAAGTACTCGGATGGCCATGTTCTTATTCTGCCCATCAGTATTTGCTTATTTCTCCCTCATTCCCAGGCAAATAGTATATCTTGGAAGAGATAAGGTACAGTCTCCTATGGATGTACTCCTGCCAGTGGATGTCATACTCCATGGGCTTCCTTTGGATGCTTTCTGAAGGGATCTCATCTAGGTAAATATTTGCACTGATTTCTCCACTATATTCAGCTTGGGATTCTAGCTTAACTGTGTGAAGAGGTGTGGTATTGTCTAAGAAATTAACATTTTCCTTACCTGAAAATGTATTTATACATATTCCCTCCCCCCACACACATCCCCCCTACTTCTAGTGCACCTTTTGTTCCTTGCCTCATCAAAGTATGAAGATTCACAAGTGCAAATGTGTAGAGGAAGCTAGTGCACAAGGGGTTGTGTTGTCTTTCTATTGGTTGAGGGCTTTTGCTGCATAATGATGTCATTATGCAGTAGTGCAGTTTATGCAAATTCTCATGAGATTAGATGGGAGTTCACTAAATCTAGTGGCATCCAAATCTCTAAGGCAGATGCATGGGGTAGATAACTTAATTGTGTGAAAAGATGAGTATATGTATTTATATGTATATATATATATATATATCAGAAATACATTTTCAGGTAAGGAAAATGGTAACTTTCATTGACTTAATGGGAGATACAACTTCTATATTGGTTGTACACATGTGAACCTGAGCTTCTGTAGTCACAATCGTATTTCTGTTTTAGCTTGATTTGATTGATGCTGTGGGAGATACCACACCTGTATCTGTATGGGCACGTCAGTTACCAGAGGATGATGAGCCTCGTTGTGTTGTTGTAATGGAACCTGTTGAAAGAACAACAGCTTCTGTCACATTTACACCACAGGTAGGTTGAACATACAGCTATATCAAGCATTATATTTTAGTTTTTTTGTTGTGATAGTCAATGCTAGAAACTGGGTTCAATATTCATGGTGGGCAGAGCACAGATAGCCCATTGTGTAGCTTTGTGTTTAAACTACAAACAATTGTTGTAATAGTACACTGATAAATGACATGTATGTATTGAATTTTACAATTTTTCTTCAAGCATGGCTTTTGTTGAATATGTGGACTTTGGTATCCATAGCTCTCTGTTTATGTAATATTAGAATTATTTAGGTGTGTGTAAAAACCATCATATGTATGATATTATAAGCATAAATAAATACATAAACATAGAGAAAAAACATACACTATTAAAAAACTAATTCAAAACAGGCCAAAGTACTTACCTCTGAAATATGAACAGTGTTTTTTAGTTGGGTTATTCTGTTGATAGTCTGTTTTAGCATACATGGATTTCATGTGTCAGTATTGTCGGCCTATATTTATCTATGTATTCAGATGTTTAATTCTGTTTTGTGTACTGGTTTCCCTGGTTGATGTTGAGTTGCAAAAGCTCTACCCATTTCTCATGATGATGATTATAATAATAATAATAAAAGATCTTTTGCTTGGGTCGATTTATATTCATTGTCTAAAGAGCAGGATTCATCAGCTAATCATAACTCTGAAGAACCTTTCGCCAGTTTGATTTCTTTGTCTGTCAGGTATGTTCTATTTTAAATTGTGAGCTAATTGCTGTTATGTCTGAAGGTGTTAATGTCATGTTGGAGAGTTCAGTTCATGAATCTTTATGTTTTCCACATTCTGAATTTTGGATGAATGCTGATGCCTCTATAAAATAACTAAGTGTTACTAGCCTTTTAGCCTCTACCTAATATACTTAAGTTTTTGACCCTCAGTTAAATTGTGTGTGTGTGGAGTCATTTTGAGACTTCTTCAGAGTAATTATTAGCTACCAGTTACTCTCATTCTCTTGATTCTTATAGTTAAGTTCAAAATTTTACCTTGCAGTCTTCCTTAACTGTGGCTCCACTGGTGTATTTTTGTTTTATGTGGCTTTTATGTTCCTTTGACATATTTGCTCATCATGCTTTTCTACCAGGTACTTGCCTCCCTCCTCTCAACTTTCAGTGCATTAATCTCCCATTTTGGAGAAGCATGCCAGTAGCAGCAGATTAGGGTTTTAACATTTTGACTTACTTCTGGCAGTCATACCTTTCTAGACAATCAGCAAACTTACCTCACTCATCTACTTCTCAGTCAATGCCAACTACTTTGACTCATTCTTTTTAACCTTAAAGAGTGACTAAAAGTATTAGTGAGCAAGGTGTTTGTCTTCATAACCCATTCAATCATTGTTCTGGACAAATCTCTCAGCTGGACTGGTCGAGGATTGTCCCGGATCATTGATTAATCTGTGGGACCATTTGCTTTGAGATATTTGGGTTAAATTGATCCTTCAATCTGGTTCATCATGACTGCAATTCCCTAATCTGGATTATAGTTGGAAAGCTAAACTTATACATGTCCTCATGATGCAAGCACAATAAGTCACATGGAAGGATGGAGAGTAGTGAACTGTTGTGTCAAGGACATTTATCAGAAATTTAGTTATATCTTCATTGTAAGAATAAGAGCAACTCATCAAGGAAAGACCTTACATATTTGAGAGGTAAGTACCTGTTTTTAAATTAATTTGAATTCTAAAAATATTAAAAAACAAACAGACAATCTACATATTTTGACTGGGATGAGCCTGTCATTATCAGGATAATACAGTGCTACAATATCCACTATTTTGCCACTATTTATATAAATAAATGTATTACATTTACATAGGGCAGAGCTGCAGAAAAAATTATGTTGGAGAATGCAACTATTTTTCCCACTGTATTTCAACCTTATGTTGATGATAGGTATGTTTAAATTCTTAGTGATAATGCAACTAAAATATCCTTGGATCATGTGAATGGTATTAGTCCAACAATTCAGTTACCAGGTGAACAACAATAACATAAATTGTTTTCATTTTAGGATGTTATATTAACATACAAAGTTAAATAAGACAAAAGTGTTCACTTGTTTCCTCATTACTGTTTAAAATCATCATTACTCACAAAGAATAGGTGTTTTTAAGACTATGATATATATAGTTTTAAATGTTTGTTCTGACTAGGAGTAAGTAGATAAAGAATTAAATTATCTCAAATATTTTGTTTTAAATGGAAGGTTTACATAAAGTTTAATAAATAGTTTCTATAAGAGTATTTTAAAGAAATTTAAAAACAAAGAGGGAAATACAAGAAGTGGTGCAGAAAAGTGAAAACTCTCGCATTACTGTGTTTTCTTATGAATAACAACAAAACAGTGGATATTGTAACACTGTTATTCTGATGATGACTGACTAGTGCCAACTGAAACATGTTTGTATATATATAAATAAATAGCTATTCATGCTATAATATTATAGGTATGTGGATTTATAATCAAATTTAGCATAAGGTTCTTTGCATATGCTAAATATGAGCTAAGGAGAAAATGAACTGTGAGTATTCTACTTTTATTACTACATTTGTGGATTAGGCATATGTTGCATATTTTAAATTCTTCAGTTTAAAGCTGGTAATCTTCATTTGATACTCAACAGATGGAAACAACCTCAAGTATTTGTCTTCTTTAACCATTTTGGAATTTCATTAAATTGCCTTTCACATTTAAATCTGGTGATTTACATTTGACACTCAATGGATGGAAAGCATCTCAAGTATTTTGTATCTTCAACCAGTTCAGGATTTCATCAAATAACATTTCAAAGTAAATACTCTTCTTTTGGATTTAAATTGTAATAGTAATTGTGCCATTCAAAACATTATTAATGTTTCATGCAACAGTTAGATTACCTCAAGTTGACAAAATTATAAGAAATGCTTCTTATAAAGTACTTTTAAAGGTTACACAGAATAAATGACATTAAATATCCATAGTTGAAAAATGGCTCTACTGTCTTTACTTGGAAGCTAGTAGGTTTCTCTTATTACAACATTGAACAGAGTATAATTAGTTGGCATCAAGCTCAAAAAGGAAACTATATTTAACATAGGATTTTTCTCCTTTAACCAGAGGTGAAGATGTGTTTTTGGGTGGCAGAGCAAGAAACAAAAAATTACAGTAATTGTTTCTTGGAGGTGTTGCATACATTCTTGGAAAGTACAGAATCTGCTGTATCCAAATATACAGTCCTATGATGGAACTTATATCAGTTTGAAATTATGAGCAGTCAAAGAGACTTAGGGTTTCAGAGTGGCAGCACCATCTTACCAGCAACAGTCACACACACACACACACACACACACACACACACACACACTAATTGATTATCTCTTTTTTTTTTTATTCTCAAATCAAACTATGGGACCTTTCTTGTTTGAAGTGGGAGTCCTTAATCTTGATTTTCTGATCTGATGGAAGGCTACTACTGTCACTACTGTTTTTCTCAACGTCATATCTATTTTGTTAGTGTTGCCACACCATCTTTAGGCTTGATTGATGGATGTGCCTCAACAAAGGCTGTCAAAAAGTCCATCGTGATTGCATCCACAGTGGCTGAACAAGTTGAAAATTGAACATATTAGAAACTTGCACATGTAGGTAACAAAATGAATAATGGTGATGATGACATGCCAAAGAACATCAATGCTCCAGTCACGGTCAGTGGGGCTTGAAGCTATCTGCTGAAGATCTATTGGACTCTGGTCTTGAAAACAGATGCATCAAGGGTGAAGGAAAAGAAGGCTCAACAGACTCCTCAGTTACACAACAAGAAGTACCATCATTAACTATGGGGTTTCTGCTGATGATGTAGCCTGTCCTAACTTGGTCAGTTGTTGTCCAGTTTGGAAACTGTAAAGTGTAATAATAAAATCTTTAAATGCTACATCCCATGTAAGTTTCACTGGAATGAGATCCTGGATCTTCTACATGAAATTCCTGCCACCGAGGTTTCTCTGGTTGAGGGAGAGATATTAAATTATGTAGACTTAAGAGAAGTCTCGGGTGGTTCTTTTAAAGTCAAAGAATGTAAGCATGAGGACGACACATTTGTGAAAATTGATTCACCTAATATGGTGGAAATGTATGTGGATTTCAGTTAGCTCACACCCATGGAGAGGTTTTAGAGTTGGTCTTAAATTTTTCAGTTAGTGCTAATGTTAATCTAAACTTAAATGTTATTATGGAAATTGAATCACATTTACAAAACTAGATGGTTTTATTCAAGATATGTTAATGATGAATACGTGAAATGCACTTAGAACTAATTCAGGTAGTAGAATGAATCTGAACTTTGATGAATGTAGTTTTCAATGAACTGAAAGACAATAAGAATTTAATAATTATGAAATCAGGTAAAGGTAATAATGTTGTAGAGATGAATTTTGATCAGTATGAGAATGGGAGCAAATGATTTACTGAATGATGGCAGTTAGTAAAAACCATCAAATAAACCTAGTAATAAAGTGTTAGCACAAATTAAATAAACCTTAAAAATAAGTGAGATGTATACCAGCTGATATCAGAAGGAAATTGGTTCCTTTCTGCTTTTATTCTCTTAGATTGTATGTTTTGCTTAAATTGCATAACATGGCCTTTTTGTTACATAGTTTTATTGTCCAAAAATTAGTGGTAAACTATCTAAGCTTTTTCAAAAATATTTTGGGTGTTGCTTAGAAATCAATTAATATTTCGAATGGCAAAGATGTTTTAAGTAAAGAAATAGAAGGTGAAGTATTTATGAAATTCTATACAATGTATGTAAAATGTTTATATTGGACAAACAAAACTTTAGCCATCAAAATGAAAGAACATGGTATGTAGGCATACTACATGTTGCCTATTCCCTTATTTGATATAAAAAAAAAATTCAAAATTTCCATACATAATATAGAATGCTGGTCAAGGGAGTCAGTAAGTTCCTTAATTTTGCTCTAGTTACCAACTGAACCGTGCCATTCAAATAGGGTGTCACATGAACTTTCTCATGGGAAAGATTCCTGTAAAGTGGAGCATGCTATGGTTAAAGCATTCCCTGGTGGTAGTGGTGGTACTTTTTTTTTAGAAGAATTTTTGATATTTCCATTAATGTTTATAGTATACATTTTTCTAATATTAAGATAATAAAATATAAAAAGCAAGAAAATTATTAGTATGGAGATCTATTCATATAGACTTTAACTTAAGCACTTATAAAGAACAACATACTGCCACTACACATATTTATAATACTAAAGTTGTGTATACTGAATTCCAAATCATCTTATGACTATTTAAAGGAGAGATCATACTGAATTCTGTTTCTGCAGGATCTGCTGACTTCATTTTTACATATGAAATTATTAGATTTGGACAAATTGTATATCATGAACCTGCAACTCTGTGACACAGAGGCAGAAAGTGGGCTATGTGCTGTGGAAGAGTATTGAGCTGATGTATTGTTGAAATAAAAGTATGACACTATTTCAAATTTTCTAACAGTGTTTACTTATTACTCACTTCAAAAGAATGGTTATAAAAAAACTGTGCAGTGCTCACTGATCTCAGTAGAACACACTTTTAACCTACTGTAAAAGTTGTGTTATTGTATTTTTCAAATCCAACTCCAGTTTACTAATGTATCTATTTTCAAAAACTGGGTTACTAAGTAGAAACACAACCATACCTGAAAAGATGGTGTGCTGAATGTAGAATGATTTTTTAACAGCAGATAATGGACATGCAAAATATCTTTATATTAGCTGTACATTTACTTTTAACCAATGTTTCAAAATCCTTTGTGAGGTTATTTCTTGAGCCCTATACATGTATTATCTCATTGTTAGTCTACAATATGATAGGTATGAGCAAGAATGTATTTGGTCTGTATGTGTCTTGCAGGTTATCATTAGTATCATAAACTGGATGTTCAAAAATAACTAGATATGTTAATGAAGGTAAATAGTTACACCTAATGAACAAACTAGAGTCAAACAACAGAAAAATTGACAAATTTAATACAAATACATTAGTCTGATTTTGTGGATATTACAGGTATAAATAGTGCAATTGTGAGTACCTTATATTTGAGCAGCCTGCTAACTCATCTGTCACAGTATAGTACTCTAATAGGAGTAGATAGTACACTCCGTAAACCATGTTTAGAAATCTTGATGTAGAATGATGAAAAAAAAAACAATATTAAAATTTACCTAAATATAAGTGGGAATCATATAAGATGAACCAGTAGACAATTTATTGTTTGAACATAGGCTTGGAAATCTATCTCAAAATTACCATTGATTCACCTTATAAATCTATTTGAATCCAGGACCATGGACTCACACAGGTTCTGTGGGATTGATGTTCTTACCAGCTTTCCATCCAATTTGTGATAATAGAATGTTTTTTTCACAATAAAATATTTCCCGTCATCACAAGTATGATGTAAAAAAAAAAAATCGTGAAATTATTTGTAACATTATTCCTGTACATATATTCTAAATTATATTATTTACTTGTATCTGGAGATAAGAACTGCATACACAAAAGATCCATTTACATGTTCAACACTAAATTAAGATATTTTACCTCCTCACAGTTATCAGTCTAAGTCTAATTACAAATAGTTGCTCATTTTCTTTTTCTTTTAGTCACTAATTATAAGTTATGTTTTACACAGCATTTCTGCTGTTGATATTCTGCTATCTTCAGGGGAATCCTGATAAGGACTGTTCGTAATGGTAGAAGCTGGGATTCAAACCTGGATTTTCTTGTAAGAAAAGCAAATGTGCTATCATCTTGTCCAGTGTCTCACCCCATTGAAACTTGAATTGACTAACTGTATGGGTATTTTCAAGAAAGATATTTAGGTTTTGCTGACATCTGTCCTATGTTAGTTGAGTGTGTTATCAGTTAGTTGGTTGTAGAAGACACTTTTATTTTTATTGTGTGAATTTGAATAAGGTAAATCCAAAGTACACAATACTGCAAATGAGGAAGCCTTGAATGTTCCCTGTGATAATGGAGATGCTTATATAGAAAAAATTTAAGGACAGTAATAACAGGCTTCAAAATATTTCAACAAATTTGGAGCAATGCACTTATGCAAAAAGGTAAAGTCTGTGGTTGTGAAAGAGAAAACTACTGTCCAAAAAAGTATTGTGATGAAGCCATTCATGTCTTTTGATATCAGGAACAAGATTATAAAGAAAAACTTTATGCTAAGAGGGCTTGGAAGCTAAAAGTTTCAAAATTTTCAGCCATGCTTCAAAATTATGGCTGTTTTCATGAGAAAGGTGACTGAAGATACGGAATTCACAGCAACCTCATTTGACCCCATACCTTTCAAGTCCCCTGGTTTTATGCCCTTGGCTTGCTTAAATGAAGTCTTGGAGGTTTATATCCATTGATAATGAAGGTCTGTGAAAAATTTATGAAGATGTGTGTTCTAAGGTTTACTTTTCATCCTTCAAAGAAACTTGTTAGAGTGGAAATTGCAATGTTGGGCAATAGTAAATAACTATGGTCATCAAACTATAGAGATTAACTTAAAAATTAATAACACATTTATTTTTTTGTTTTGTCTCTATTGCCTTTCTTTTACTGCTTTAGTACATTAGTAAGTTTAAGTAACAACTAATTAAATGAAAATTTGTAAGTCTGAAACAAGCAATACGCATTTGGCTCCTGTACAATAACTTAATTAAATAAAATACAAAATAATTTAGATGCAGTGAAAAACATGGAAGTGATATAACTTTTGTTTTTGGCTAAGGACATATTTATTTACCTGTTTATTTAAGAACTAGAAAAATATTAATATCCGTTTGTGAATATATAATAATTTAATATTCTTGACTTTCTAGGGTGTGATTACAAACTGTGACTACAATTTTGCAACATTATGTGGTTATCTAAACCCCGCTGATGCAAAACACCATAATATTAGAGATATTATACCCTCTGTAGTGCTGCCACCTACTGATAGTTGTGGAAAAAAGATACCAAAAGTATGATTTTTTTTATTTGTATTGAAAGTTAATTAAGGTGTAGCTTGTATTGATTATATCCTACTCATAATTTTTTCTTGTTTCTTTCCTATGTATTATTAAGTCTCTAACTAGAATAATGAATTTTTCTCTTAAATAGCCAATTTATTTGTGCTTTTATAATAATATTTAGCATTTTATAGTAAAAATTTTAATATCTAAAATAAAATAAAAGTGAAATAGATTTTAGTTAAGGCATTGTGGGGAGGGATAGCTATAATCAGTGTTGCTAAAACAAGTAGAAGCAAGTGTATTCTTTAGTAATTTATCTGTATTTTTTACCAAAAGCTCTGCTACCTGTTCTTTAGATCTTTATTTAGCATGTTTAAACACTGGTATGTTATAAGTTATGCATTTTGTCTAACTTATAATGAAGTGTCACATTATCACATTGCTAGAAGCTAAATGTTCAGTTATACTAATTATAGTTTCTGTAATTATGTTATACTCATAGGACATACGAAAACAGCAAGCAACTGGTCGCACTCGAGATGGTGCTACATTCCCATTAAGTATCCTTATTGAGCCACTGTTAAATATAGACGCCATACAATCAGAAGAATTAACTTCAGGTATAACATAGTGGTAAAAATATAGTTTCTCATGAAATAGCCACAGATATAGCAACCACATAAATTTTCACAAAATAACTAGGCAGGAGTGTCACAATTAGTAGCAGTAATCTTGGGCAAGAACTAAACATGGTTTATTATTGCAGAACTATATGGTAACTTGAAACTTGCATTGCATTACTATCTTATTGAATGGTGCAATGTTTGCTGTACTGAATGCAAAACTATTTGGTAACAAGAATTTTCTCATTAAATTGTTATTTATCATTGTTTTTTTGTTTAACCTATATTCTGAATTTTTTAAGAGCTCTTATAGGATTTGTAGTTAAGGATTTTGAGAATACAACTGAAACTGAGAAGCAAGCTTAAACTAAATAGTAAGGAGATTTTTTACCGATTGGGAAAACCAATCAATAAAACAAATTTTGCACTCCCTTGTTATTTGTCATTTTGAATATTTTTGTTATACTGAATGACTTTTTATACTAGTTCAAGTTTTTGAAAATTCAATAATAATCAAGAAATAAGTTTAAAGTTTACTTAATAATGGGATATTTAGTCTATTGAATCAAATATGAAAGTATTTGACCAAAAGAAACTTCACAGTTATTTAGTGTATTGCTTTCTGTGGTTCTTAACATTTTCCAAACTATTAAATATTTACTCTGTATTTAATTACCAACAAGACTTTAGCGAATTAATATACAGATACATGTTAAGTCTCATGAATTGTCCATGAGATATTTTTACTTTTTCTCATGCCTCATGAATTTTTATGTGAACCTCACAAAGTTTTGTAGAAAAAGAAACTGAACAACTTTTTTCATGGTATTTATATAAAAAAGGATCTCTTGCAAGTCAGTGTATTCTGAATGACAATCAAAAACATCATACAACATAACATATATCTAGAAGTTCCCACTGAACAAAACAGGCAATATATATATTTATGGTTCAGTAACACAACTTGAACCAAACTGTGTATTTGACAGTTATACAAAACAGTTTTTATATCTTAGAACTTTCCAGACACATTTATTAAATTTCAACAATATTACATCCATTACACTTTTTGGTATTTTTTGAGAATATAACACATGCTTAATATAGTTGAGTTTAAAAAAGGATTGGAAATGTACTTCAGCAAAAATTCAAAGGATCATGAGACCTGAATATATATTGTAGTTTGCATATTTCACGTTTTGTAGAAGTACTATGTCTTGATTATGATTTTCGTTTTTCGTGCTGTTTTTTTTCTATTTTTATGGGAAAGCATAAATGTTGCTAATAGGCTTTTTTTAAATACTTTATTGTCTTTCATTCAATACATTTTTTTTTCCCCAATTTGTAAAATCTGTTGTTTGACTGACTATGTACAGTAATTTCTGTGATTTTAAAGCAAACAATATAAATTATAATAAACTTTAGATATAGTAAATTCTGTGGTTTTAAAGTAAACAATATAAATTATAACAAAATAACTATAGGTGATGATAATTTCTATGATGTACGGTAAATTGTAGATTCTAAGAGTTAACCTGAGTACACTAACTATTTGATTTTGAGCACTATGGATTTTAAACGACTTCTGTGATTTTAAAATAAACACTATAGGTTTTGAAGATTTAGCTTCAGCTACAGAATTTTTGTGATTTAAAAGTAAATATTTTAGATTTAAAATAATTAACTCCACTTCAAAAACTTGTTATTTTAAACTAAACTTCTGAAGTTCTGAACTAATAGTGCCAGGCACAGTAACTTTTATTATTTTAAAGTAATCACTGTATATTCTGACTTTGTACAAAATCTTCTGTGAATTAAAAAAAACAACAACACATTGTGACTTCTAAAGAACTATTCTCAGCTGCTGTAACTTCTATGATTTTTAAAGTAAATACAGTAGTTTCTGGGAATTTATTTTGGGATATGATAATATATGTAATTTTACACATTTGAATGAATTAACTTGTGTATTGATAACTTCGATATTTTGATCTATCCAATTAATATCTAAAATTTGAATCATTCACTTGAGTAGTACTTAAAGTATAATATATAAAAATATATGCTGTTTTTGAAAAATATTTGTATTTTAAACTACTAAGAATTTTCTTGCATATCAGATATTTAGTATTTAATGTTAATAATGCTGCTTTGGTAATTTGCATATAAAATATGTGAGGGCATCTGACACATCTAGGTTTTCTTCTTGCAGAAAATCACTCTGAAATTCAGTTTCTGGCTACTATTTGGGTATTTGCTAACATCAGTGGTATGATCACTGTTTTTCCTGATGGCACCATTCATAGCTGTAATGCAAATTTTTCACTGATGTTGTTTGGTTACAGTCAGAGTCAGCTTGTGGGAAAGGTAAATGTAGTATAGTATATAGTTTCATTAAGGGTATGTAATGAAAAATGTTCTGGTAAAGACAATTCAATATACAGTGTAGGGACGTGTTGAATACAATATGAATAATATGAAAGAGTAAAAAATGTAAACTTGGGAGAGTTAAACGTGATGTAGAAGAATAAGACATTGTATATATTGTTAGAGAGATGTAGATAGTATAACGTAAAGAGTAGGAAAAATAGATAGGGTTTAATATGCTGTTTGAGAGAGGTAGAGATAGTGTAATGTGCAATGTGGGAGAGATTTTAAACATGAATATTCTAGAGTAGGTGAAAATAACATTGTAAACTTTGGGAAATGTAAAGGTAGTGTGGGCAAAATCAAGCTACAGTGATATATACTTTAAGGTCTGAAGATGTTACAATTTACAGTCAGTCAGGAAGAGACGTTAAAATGCTGTTATATATAGTGTTCAGAATTTATATAAAATGTTCACTGTGGAAAACCATGGCTCCCAGTGGCTCAGCAGTAAGCCTGAGGGGTCAGGCCACTAAAACCTGAGTTCTAATACTCTTGGTGGGCACAGTGCAGATAGCCCATTGTGTAGCTTTATGCTTAAAAAACAAGTGGAAAACCATTAAAAGGTGATTTAACATTTAGCCTTGGACAGATAATCTGAAAAATTCAAGAATGGTACAGTTAGGTCTAGATCTCGGCTGTAGGTCAAGGTAGATACTGTATATTATTTGTCTTAAGTTGCCATTGTTGCATGGTGTGCAGTACGACAAGGGGCGTTATTGTGATCAAAGAGGTATAATCCTTCTCAAGATATTTCCATCAAGAAAGCAGTGAATTATTACCCAGAATGACACAATATAACAAGGCATTCATGTCTTTTTGACCTATTACAAGTGGAACAATTTTATACCAGATAAAAAATGCCCATATTATTTAGATTTGATGATGAGGAACCCACTTTTTAGAAAATAAAAGTTTGGAGATGGCTTGAATGGGTATTGAAGAAAACTATTATAAATGTACAACGTTTCAACAAGATTATGTCATCATCTGGTACAAGTAGCTTACATAGACACAGGAATATATATATATATATATATATACAGTATGGAACAAAGAGGTCACATGACCAGAGATTGGTTAACAGCTTAGTAAAGGTATCTCGGTACCCCGGGATATTAGTTTAAAGTGGGGCTGTTTTGTTCAATTAAGATAGTTTCCTCTATTTTGCACAGTTCAAAACTAAAATTGACGTGGGTTCTCACATCTAGAGTATAGCACGTTAATTACGGGCCATGATCTACTCGATATGATTTAAAAAAACGACTAAGTTTTCATCTATCTAGTTTAATGCCAAACTGGAAAATACAGTCAGTCTAATGATTACAAAACCCAACTAAATACTGTTAAATATCACAAGAAAGGGGTAAGTGCTAAAATAATAATGACCTGAATGTCACATTAGCCTTTGTATGTATTTTTACCACCCAGGGAGAACCACAGAATTTTGCCCATGAATCCAAATAAAAACATCAATATACTAAACAACCTTATAAGCACATTTTCAGCACTTTGCTCAACTGACTACATAGATGAAGGAATCAACTTTATATGTATTCCTTCATTTCCACCAACTATTGTCAAAAAATTTCCACACAACCATCAGAACAAAAAACCTCAAAACTCAACTCACAAACAAAATTGACACCAATAAATTAAACATCAATGCAACATTACACTGCAGTTTACCATTTGTCCCTGAAGTCAGTTCAATAATAATCAACACTTGGAGAAAATGTGCCATTAAACATAAAATATCTGATGACTTCAAATTCACTCAAAAACCTGGCTCTTAAATAATATCATCACTAAATATAAAATAATGTACAATAATTGTCCAGAATTCTACATTGGAGAAACCAGATTCACCAAACATATTTAAAAAACCCTCCCATGTTTACCATGATTGCAACTCAAAAAGCCACAGTATATCTATACAAAACACTGTAATTTTAAACAAAGAACCAAATATCAACAAATGCAAATTAATGCAAACTATGTTAATTGAACAAATCAACTCTACCCTAAACCAGCACCTTAGGGTAACAAGATACCTTTACTAAGTTGTTAAGCAATCTGAAGTCATGTAACCTCTTATATATATATATTCCTATGTCTATGTAAACTACTTATACCTGATGATGACATAATCTTGTGAAAACATTGTACATTTATAATAAAGCTTCCTTCATTACCCATTCAAGCCATTTCCAAATTTTTATACCCATATTGTGGTCTATTCCATTTACTCTTCATGGTTAGGATACAAAGTCATATCTAAAGCATTATCCATATTACCTTCAAAACACAGATTCCTCCAGATGAAACAAACAATTAGTAGTAGGATTCATAGCTCCACATGAATCCCCCAAATTTCAATGCTCATGGCACTATGAGAGGTACCTACTTGCATTTGCGACTGTGATAAGCAGCTCATGGGCTATGTTCCTAGCAACATATAGCTCCCTCCTCACTGTGAATCCGAGTTAAAACCCGAATAATGGAGTTAATACCAAATGTGTTTTTTTACCACAATATGTGGACCAAAGAATGGTTAATTTCAGGTGACTGGCTTTATATTCTACATTAGCATGTCCGGTGGTCTTCCACTCCTCAGTTCCAGTACCCACAATGGATTAGGGTATGGGTAGGCAGCTTGTCTTAAACACATAAGTCACCATTGCAACTCCCAATATCCATTCTACTTTGAAGTTATTTGAGCTATCATGTCATCTTAATTCCAGTTGGTTATCTGTGGAAACCGATGACCTTTATAAACCCTATCTAGAAATACACAGTAGTTTTCACATGCAAACTTATATGTGGATGTACCCATTTATAGCTGAAGGTGTGCTGTTCCAGTACTTCTAGGTACACAGTGTACAATGTGGGAAGAGGTAAAAGAGCGTAATGTGTAGTTTTGTTGAGTCTTTAAGGTATGGTAGTACATAATGTTGGGATATTATGAGATAGTATTTCTTTAAATTGACATAGTAGTAAAGATTAGATGTTATATTCCACACTTTCTATTTAGTTTCATTACCACATACTAAATATCAGCTTCTCAAAAGGTTTTTGCTGTTAATGATAGAGTTCCATAGAAAAATATACTTTTATGGATGATGCAAAGAAAGTTTTTGTTCTTAACATTGTTTCATAGTAAGTGTAACTCTAGCTACAAAATTTCTAAAACTTGCCTACAGATACAAGAAAAATCTTTTTTTCTTTTTCAGAATATATCAAATTTAATTCCAAGTTTTTATGATGATCTTGAGTTCTTGGACACAGACTCAATGCCCCTTCCTCCGTTAGATGATGATGATGACGATGATGATTCACATGTGGTTTGTCCATCAGATGGTCGTACAACAGCAGAGTCAATTGTCACTGATCCTCCGAGGTTACATTCTTAGACAAATTTTTGTGTTTGCTGGTTTGTCAATTAAGACAATGTACTTTAGAAGAACCAAAGAAATATTCTAAACCATTTTGATGAATAATGAGTCCTTTCTCAGCACATGAGGTTTCACTGTTTGTCAAAATGTTAATGTATACTTTCATCTTATAAATTTCAAGTGTATGGTCATAAAATCAATTTTTAAATTATAGATGCTGCTATGTTTATATTATTTTTCAGACTTCTTTAGGATATTGAACAGCACTAGGATGATGCAAAAAAGTATATTTAAATTTAAGATAAAACATGGAAAAAATTTTGTCTGTTGTATGTACAGACACGCACATACACAAATACCTAGATTATTACAAATCTAATTTTTAAAATATGTAGTACTTAAGTGTTTAATTTTTACAAGATGCAACTAGTAATCATATATATATGAAGAAAAGTTTTATTAGTAAAGAATTTTAACATTGATTATCTTTAATTATAAGTATATTTCTATTATCAGTTATTAGCTGAATGTGTGATCAGGGTTTTGTGTACCAACCTATGATTTACAAATATTTCTGTTTCAGACCAACAAATCCTGTTGGAAAACAGATAGACCTAATGCTTGAAGATATTGTTGGTTCTGTTCAAGGACTAGCATTAAGTAGACCAAAGCCTACATCCACCCCTGTTTTATCTCCAGAATCTTCAGTGACTGAGTCATTAACTTCATCGAGATCTACTGATGTTCATTCTTTTAATGGAAAACCTTCAGTATTTCTAGAGGAGAGTAATCATTGTATTTCAGCCCCTGTGAGTATGAATCCTGTAGATGATAAAAAACAACCCTGCAAAACCACTATGTCTTTACCAATAACAAACTTAGACTTTAATGAAGATATACTAGATAAACAAACTGCAGAGTTGGTGGTCACAAGGGATAATTCTCAAAGCACTGGAAGCAGTGAGAACACAAAATCTGCAAATCTGTGTACAGAAAACAGACAAGATGCATTTGGGTTCAGTAGTGAAGATATTGGCACAGGTTCCTCCACAAAACCTGAAAGTTCTGTTAATGGTTGGATTACAGAATTTGGTGACTATCAGATTAAACAATCAGAGAGTTTTCATTCCACATCCACAACAACAGCAAGTACTATTCACAGCTCTACGGAAAGTGCACCCACAGACTTTGTACACGTTAATACTGATGCAATGTCCACCAAGGGAAATGCTGCCTTGCCATTTGAACAACTTGCTAAAGAAGTTCTGTCTTGTCAGTTTAGTAATGAAACTGTTCTTAGCATTCCTGAAGGTAACTACTTTGGCATTGGAAGGCATCGAGATGGATCAGACTTAGGTAAGTTAGTGTTCATATACCTTCTTTTTATATCACAGACATTTAGTAAAATACCTAAAAACATACTTCACATTGATTATTAGATGACATGCTTAACATGTAATATACCAGAGAGTGCTACTATTCATCATAGAATTGTGCAGGTTTGAAATTGAATTTCCTGGTTGTATTACAAATTCTAGAATGAAAGGACATTTTTAAAATTTATTTGTGAACCCTTTTTCTTTAGCACAAATAAATATGACATCAGCCCAGTTTGGCTCCTTTCTCGTGTACAACACTGTTTGACTGTTGATACCACTTCTTTATAGAATTCTTAACTGATGGATCTTTTCCATAAACTCTGTGATATTGTTTTTGCACTAGAATAGGAGATTTCATGTCTGCTACTGCTATTTACAGAATACACATGACCTTCTCTTGAATTGTCACTATGGTTTTTAATGACATATTTGGTTACATACATGGTTACATTTCTTGTGGCAAAAAACTGCATACATGTGCTTTTCATCCACCACAAACTGTAAGTTCATAACTGTTATGATTTTGTTGTGGTTTAAGTTTGCAATATGTCACATAATTTCCAGACACCCTGTATATTAGCTTTAAATATTTCATTGTATATGATCAGAAATATGCTTTTACTTTATTATACAATAAATATGTCTATCAAATACATTTTAAAGTGTGTTTAAGTGCATTAAACCACTATAAATACAACTATTTCAGCAATTGTTTACCAGATTAAGAAGGTAGACTTAGATGACGGTCAGACCTTATACTGTTTGTGGGTGTCCCGTGATCCTGAAGAGGTTGGAGAGGGAGGAAGACAGTTCCATTCATTTAACCTGGCATCTAGTTTTAATAGCACACTTGGTGTAGGTCTTGATGCCTCAACTCAATCTCTTCAACAGGTACAGAGTTTAATATATAAGTGTTTTAATTTGAGAAAATTAAGTTAACAGAATTAGAGATGGAGGTTTTTGTATTTTAGTTTATTTTTCTTTATCTTTTAACAGTGCTTTTTACAACCTGCATATGCAAATATTACAACCTCTTCTGGTTGTTTTTAATTATTTGGCACATCATCTTACTTCATTAGTCAAAATCTTAAGTTTACATACTGGAAAAAAGATTAATACATTAAACTTTTGGTGTTTTAAAAATTCATTTAGAAACTTACTCAAGAAGTTCAGTATGACTATATTTGGGTGAGAAAGCACACACAAATAGTGTATGTCTGTATTATATATCAGTTCATAGTTGGTATGCTTGCAGATTGAATAATCATAAAAATCAGAACACTATGTCTTTAAGAATACTGCTTTAATTTGGCTAAGAAATAAGCAATGATGTGTCATTATAAGCTTCCATATGAAATGTAGTTTTAACTGGAAGAATTATGATGTTTTTTAAGTTAATTTTGTACTTTCTCTTGTTTTCTTTTTTAGTTGATAATTAAGCTATTACTTTACAATTTAAATCTTATTCCTCATCATATTAAATTTCCTATTAATTATTTAGGTCATTGACAAATGAAAACATTTACATAAGTAATTATTAAATTAATCTAGAAAGAACATACATCCAATAATTGTGTGTTTTAAATTTTATATAAATTAGATCAACTTATACAGACTTTTTCGAATAACCAATATAAAAAAATTAGTTAACTTACAGTTTTTATTCTTTGTCTTTATATTTTTGTTTAATTTTTGGGGAATAAATAGAGGTACTCTACTATTGTTTCATTTATATGTGAAATTTCTTATTAGTAGTTGAGCTTTGTGACCTTTACATGCTCACATACACACAACTTATTAGTTAAAAAATATCAAACCCTTATTAGTTTTAGAAAAACCATTAAAGGGTAATGGAATATTTATTTTGAAATAGAATAATTAATTATTGGAGGAAGTACAAAAAATACCAAACCTGTATTAGTTATTACAAAACCATTTAAGGGTAGTGGAATAGTTATCTTGAAACAGAATAATTAATTATTGGAAGAAGAACAAAAAGTGGTAAATCCTTATTAATTATTACAAAACCATATAAGAGTAATGGAATAGTTATTTTGAAATAGAATAATTATTGGAAAAAGTAAGTCTCATAATAATTTAGTGAAAAAAAAAACACTTAAAACTGAACCATTATGAGAAGAACAAAATGCAGTAGCCTATTTCAGTGTTATCTTAGTCTAATTATGAGCTTCAAAACATATAGAAGATAGTTTTGATCTTTAAGACACTGTTAATTAATCTATATTTTTGTGCAAAGAAAATTGATCTTTCACTGCTAGTGTAGATTTTTCCTTTATTTTCATGTTATAAATGAAATACTTGAACACGTGTTTTCTGAATTCAAGTAATTTTCTCTTAGTGGTGTGACATTTCCTAAAAGAGTAAGTTGGTAGGTCTGCTGTATAACAGGAGTTCAGCAAGATAAATTATGACATAATTCTGAATTCTACTGAAACTAAATGAGTCTGTCCTGAAAATTAAATGAACTGGACACAAAGTATGATGCACAGTGAAAACTTTATTTATTAGAATCACAAACATAATGTGTGTGTTTGTAAATACATACTTACTTGCACTAGATGCTTGACTGTTGCCTTTACTGGAGTTGTAAATGGATTAGACCAGCTCTACTCCCTCAAGACTTATTTTGAAACTGATTGATTCACCCATGGTGATGTTCCAGACTGTTTAAATCTCATGTTACTTAGTTGAATTGTTAACATCAGTCTTATCCACATGACTAGTCATTCCCAATCAAACATAAAAGAGGTTGTAACCTAGAGATATTACCTGATCTACCATGGGAGGACACAGCTGTCAACCTTTTTGCACAGGCTTTACAACTATATCTCCCACGTGTAGACCAGGTGTTACCTCCAAGGGAACGACAAAGAACAAAGGTAGTTAGAACAAAATCAATTTAACTTTCTTTACCATATGTTATGCAAATACCTAGAAATGATGGAAAAGTTTGAAAAAATTCAACATTAAAATAAGAAGGTAGGAAATGTTTTATTTTGAACAGAAATATTTATGATATTCTTTTGAGATGTCATGCAACTTAAAGAACTTTTGTAAAATTTAAACCAATCTTGTAGAGACATTATGCTGATGACAAATTAGGTATTTTGTAATTACAAAATCATGTTAATGTTTTTCTTATAGTTTTTAATGAAAAACATCAGATCATTAAATTCAGAGAGGAAGGTGAGCAAGAGTGTAAACTATTAATACAGTTTTGAAGTGGGTTTATTAAAATAAGAAGAGGTTTTGATTAATCAGGTTCAGTTACTTGTTATTAGTTTCAGTGCATTACATGAGAAGATATTCTATATTAAAAATGTTTTAAAATTGACTGAATTTGTTACTAGTTTTATTGATAAAATAGTCCTTGTTTGTGTGTCAGTTGTCATATTTCTGCTTGTTAGTTTACTGTTCTTTAAACTCCTGTAGTTTGAGTTTAACATATACAGAAAAATGTATTTGTATTTAAAGAATAGCTTTATTATCCCTTTTAACAGAAGTAAAATTACAAATTGTTTGATTCAACATTGCTGTTCATAGAAATGTACATATACTTTCATTGTTGGGACTTTGATGGAACCATCTCTAGAAAAGAATACACCCCACTGCAACTAGAGGAAAATTTTTAATATCTCACGAAATTTACCTGAGTAGGGTGTTCCAGGTGAATTTAATAATTAAAACCATGAGCCATTAAACTGAGAGTGAAGAGCCTTTTAAGAATTTATAATCTTGTAATAATTAATTTCATGGTAGTTTTAAATTATCTTAATCTTGTTTTTACTCTGTTCTTCTGAACTTGCTAGCCTGTACTATTTCATTTTCAATTTTGACTTAGTTCTAGTTTCTAGTTGCATAGCCTAACAACATACGAGCATATCCATGCTTGTAACTAGCTGATTAGTGTAGTTTCAAATAAAGTAAAGCTCAAGATAGAATATTGTACAATGAAGCTTTATATGTCTTTTGAAAAAAATACTTAAATTCCATTTAGTTGCAACAGATGCAGCTCTAAATTTCAGTTCTTACCTGTTCATGCATGGTTTGGAGTTTACTGTATATGTGATCTCTATATACTAAGGTTTATTACAAGACCTAAAGATGAATAAACTACGAACATTAATTAAGTCTAACTAGAAACTGCCACAAAGACACATTTTATATCAAAAAGAGCTAGAGTATAATGAAGAGAGTGTATAATGAAATAGATTATATTAGTACTATTTATGTTTAGCTACATGGTTTATGAATTTTGTATTAACTCTGTGAAAACAGAAAAATCATCTATGTAAAATAGGAATTCTAATATTTCTCTTTTGATCTTTTCAAATTCTTTAGTAAAGTTTTTGAATAAGTTGTTTGTTTCAATTGATAACTTTATATCAACTGTATATATAAATGAACAATAAACCAGTTCAAAATATAATATTTTGATTTGTGAAAATGAAAATATATTCAAGATTGTTTTTTCATAATTGTTCTGGACAATGTATATTGTAATACTGTCTTGAGTGAGAATATTTCTATACATTTTTGTTTATGATTAACCTTAAACAAATTCTGTGTGTAGTTGTTTGAATGTATATGATAAAACATTGTGCAGTGTTTTCTGCTAGTTCATGGTATAATGTTTTCTTAGCAATCCTTACTTGAAAAGAGTGTCAGTCAAAGCCTTAGTGTCAGTCAATCAGCAGCAGCAGAACCTCCAGACACTGAGTATGTTAAAGGAAGTTATGCTGACCATTATACCACTCTTCAACAAATTGGGAAGGGTGCTTTTGGTTGTGTAAAGATGGCTTTTCGGAACACTGATGGTGTTATAGTAAGTATTGATTTCAAGATTGTTGGAAACTAAACAAATTTGAACTGTATATATTCAGTTAAATCAAAATTAGTTGTTAGTAATTGACTCATTTTTTGCAAAATGTAACTTATTGATAAAGCAAAACATGAACATGATAATAGGAAGCATTTATTAAATGTTTCAGAATCATAATAATTCCATCATCTGTAATCTAGAGGTACAAAAAAATATTTGTAATTACAAGAGAGATATATACATAAGAAGTAAACAATATGAATATACAAATTATAACATGAGAAAATGAAAAATGTATCACAGATGAAATACTTAAATTAAAATAGGTTTTAATCAAGTGAAGAATGTGTATTACTTAGGGATGGAAGAATAATAATCTTTATTATAAGTTCAGTATCATGTATGGCTGTTAAGAGAATTTTAAAGGTGGAGAGAAAAATTGTATGTCCTGTTTCAGTATTGTGCTGATAGATAGCAGAAATGTGAGGGTTTGTAACCTTTCTCACAGTTTTTATAGATATGCCCATGTGTTCACATGCTTGTACTTTAAGGCGACATTTGGTTTCACCAATATAGGAGGCCTTACAGTCTCTGCACATGTATAAGTAGATGAGATGTGAACAATGAGCAGTCAGCAAATGATCTTTGTATTCGAAAAAGTGTTTTAGTCTGAAACTGGGTTTTATGATAACTTTCAGGGGATAGTAGGAGTTACATACTTTTTTCAACTGTTTCATGATAAGGGAGCTCTGTCTCCCAAGATATGGTAAGCAAGTATATAAGGGAAGTTTGGGCACAGTAGGTATCTTGGGTCGTATTACAAACAAATTAGTTAAAAATGAGAAAGTTATTTTCTCTAAGAAATGCTTAGGGTAATCATTTCAAAAGAGAATGCTTTGTATGGAAGTTTTTTCATTTTCTCTTGTTATAATTTGTATATTCACATATTTACTTCTTATGTATATCATATTTCTGTTCTAATTACAAATATTGTTTGTTTGTACCTCTAGATTGATGGAATTTTGATAATTTCCAAAATGTTTAATAAATGCTTCCTATTATTACATTCATTTTTTGCTTTATCATTAAATCAGTTGCTTTAGTAGCATATTGAGAATGAATTTGTCTTATAATTTATCTAGATTGTTTTTTATTAGTATTTAATCCAATACTGCATGTGTCTGATGACATTGATCTAATAATGAAGCAGAAAAACTAACTTTTAACAACTGCATAGGTATTCTTTACTTGCATAGTTCCACAAAATACTTGTGTGTACCTATTTCACAAACCTTTCCAGAGGCTATTTTGTTTAAGTATAAAGTTGTGTGTGTGTTGATTGTCAGTGTATATACTCTGTGTTTATTCTTGGTAGTAGAATCTTTTTATAGTGATTTTCCAACTGTTCTTACATTTAACATAGGTGGTAACTAAATTCATTCGCAAGGCCAAAGTGTATGAAGAATGTTGGGTGTTTGACAGTATTATGGGGAAGCGAGTTCCTTTGGAAGTGAGTCTTTTAACAACATTGAAGCATCCAAGCATTGTTCAGGTAACAATTAATTAGTGGTTGGTTGTTCATAGCTTTTATATTTTTACTTTATTAAGAGGTCATCTAAGTATATACATAAGATAAGATACCAACATATTTCTTTGGACATTCATTAGAAATAACTTATTTAAAATAAATCAAAAACTTTTGTTGCTTTTTTAGTAATAACATGTGATATTGTGATTTTGTAACTAATAACTTATTGGATAAAAAAAAACAATTCACATCGGTTGGCCTTGTGACATTTTCATTCAGTGACTAAATTTTATATTAATAAACCTGACATGAGAACAAATCTCGCTTGCTGTCTTTGTGTATTTATACACTCATTCTGATCATGTGCTCAGGCCTCCTCTTCTCTTAGATCATTTCCAGTTTTGGTCACAGATGAATGATATTCTAGGAAGATGGATGTGGACCAGTCATGTTCTAAGCATGTTTAAATACATAGTATAAAGTAACTGAACAATGGGATGATCTTGTTTGTAACATGATCTTTTGAACAAGAATGTGATTGTTAGAAACAAGAATGACAGAGGTTAGGCTTACTGAAACTCCTTTTAGGCATTTCTGGGAAGGAAAGAGGGAATTACCATAAAGAAAAGGGAACATAAGTAAGGAAAATAGATTAGCATTAATCTTATTTTACTTTCTCTAGCTATACCAAAGCTACACAAAGAGTTGTCATTGCTGTAGAGGAGATACAATTATTTTCCCTCCCCCAAACTTGTTCACTTTATTAAAAATTGAAAAATACTTTAAAATACTCAATCTCATCAGTGGTGTGCTTGACTACAGGTTTTGTTTTTAAAAAAAGAATGTAGAAAAGATATAAGAGTTATAGCTTATTGTTTACTGAACTTTCAACATCTTTGTTTAGACTTGATAATAATATAACATAGATATATTTGAACATAAAAAAATGGCTGTTTTGATTTATAGCCTACATGATATTTAGACATATATAGTTATTCCAAATGATGCCGAGTAATCTGCTCATTACCAAACTTTAAGAGGGCATACATCGAAATTTGGCAGGTTAGACTCCTCCTAGGCTTGGGAAGGGGTGCCATAGGTGACATTACATTAGGCATACAGTTGTGTTGGACATTGTTCCATTTTACCAAAAATAATTTTTTGTTTGTTACAGCTGAAAAGAATTATACACAATTTTTGTACAGTCATTACACATTATTGTAGCTAACATACCTTGGATTCCGATACAGTATCTTACCTCACAAGAAGTTGCATGCAAGTGATCATGCAGCAACCCTCCACCAATAGGAGTGCATCACTACCCCTATTGTAACTACCAAACTCTCTAATAATGCACTTGTTAATCACTTGTCAATTGGCAGTCTTACTGTTAAGACGTGTGTTTCTGCTCACAATTTTTTTATATTTTCATTTAGTGTATTTTTTCTTAATACTTTTTGTTCAGTTTTATACTTTGTAAGTATGCACTCACAGTTTCAAGTAGATACAACTACCACTGCTGTTACTGCACCTGTGGACTTACAGACCACGTCTTCGGGGTCAGTCGCACAGTTATAGGCTGATGATGTAACTACTATGATCCCTTGGGAAATTGTCTAATTTTATGAAACATTCACTACCACCTGAGGAATATCATGTCATACCAGTGTCTGGTGTGTCTGACAGGGAGGATGAGAAATTGGACAGCCTGAATATGCTTCTCGGTCGTTTGTTGTATCAGGACTTGCCCAGGCCTCCTTCTCCCTTTGTTGACTTAATTAATCAAGTTTGTTTGATTTTGTCTTTGTCCCCTGTGATTCTACCTCTGTCCTCCTTGCACACGAATTTTTGAGTCAATATCTGTATGCCTCATCCCCCTCGTACATTGGACAATAATGCTTATGTTTTTCATTGTGCCAACTACCTATATTTAGACTCCCAACATTTGGAATCTCTCATTCTTTTGTGGGGTTCGGACCCTAATGCTTCAGTTTCTTTTTCCCAACCTCAATTTGCCTATCTTCATCTTATGATGTCTACTATTCTTCGTGCCTCATCCTCCCTTCATTTTTAGTAGAGGCGATTCATCAGTCTCCTGAGGGATTTTCTGATGATTCTCATAGCCTCCTATTTGCTACCATGGCATGCCTCTCCTCTTTGACACTGGCTTTACAAACGTGGCTGATATGCTGTTGGGATCTGTTAGATCAGGATTCTCTTTTATTCAGGGTTCATGTATCCACTTCTTCTTTATGTGATTTGCACATGGCACCATTTTTCCGCAAAAAGTTGTTTGGGGGTCTTTCTCATACCTACCCAGTTTCTGGTTCATGTTGGTGTGTTTTTCAATTCACTTCTCAGTCGGGCACAGCCTTCTACACTTCAGATGAGAGATATGAAATGTCTCATTTGCAAGTTCTCCTACTGTATGAGAGAGTCTATCATGCACCATTTTCAGTGGGATTTCATCAACCAATAGAGTTGTGTTTGGGATCCCTTGGATGCTCTTCTTACCCTTCCCTCTCTATTACTGATAGACTTTGCCTGGTGGCTGGATTGGACCAATACTACTGTGGAGGTTCCTCTTCCTCTGCCTTGTCTGGATTGCTACCTTTTTATGGATGCTTCCCTTTCTGGTTTGGGAGTATATCACAACTGTCAGGAGGTATTGGGATGGTGCACTCCTAGCGAATCCACTCTCTATATCAATATCTTGGAGCTTCTTGCTGTTCAGTGAGTTCTCCTTCAATGGCTGCTGTCTCTTCAGGGACAGATGATGATGATCCACTCGAACAATTCAACAGTGGTGTCGTATATCACCAGACAAGGAGGAACCTGGGCAAGGGATCTTTGTTTTTGAACTTTGGATCTGCTTTATTGGGCCCACAGCCATCAAGTTACTTTGCTGATGTGTCATGTACTGGGTGCCCTGAATCTGGTCACAGATTGGTTATCTCGACCCGACAAGATCCTATTGTTTTTCGGGAGTTGTGCACTTGTTGGGGTGTTCCCGATTTGGACCTATTTGCATCTCTTCTCAATACACAAATTCCCTGTGTTTAGTTGCCTGTTCCTCACCTGCAGGTGGATGCTCTCAGCCAGAATTGGTCCGATTGTTACCTATATGCTTATCCTCCTAATCAGCTTCTTCCTCATGTTCTTTTGATAGTTCAGACCATTTCTTGTTGAGTTCTGTTGGTGGCACCATATTGGTCGGCTCAGACGTGGTTTCCACTTCTACAACGACTGTTGGTGTCACCACCCATTTCTCTCCCTATATCTCCCATGCTTCTTCATGCGTGGTGCATTTGTCCGGACCCTCGCCAGGTGGTCCGGACTTTCCAGGTGTGTTGCCTCTTTGAATTCTCACCCAGTTTGACCATCATCATTGGTGATTTATCAATGTAAGTAGGCTACTTACTGCTCTTGGTCTACACACCAGGGTTACCATCCTTCACAACCTACCATTCCTCACTTGTTTGCCCATTTTTACTTGGTGTAATGACAGGGGCCTATCGGCTTCCTCTGTTGTGGGTTACAGGGCAGCTTTATCTTCCACCTTTTGGTTTACCGAATTTGTTTCTGTGTTCCACTCTTCTGTTCTATCTATGTTATTTCATTCATTCTTCATTGCTCATCCTCACTACTCTGCTTTTCTTTTGGATTGGAACCTCAGTGTTGTCCTTCACTCTCTTACTAGTTCTCCATTTGAATCTTTGTTGTCTTGCATGTTATATCACCTTTCATTGAAGTCCTTGTGTCTGTTGTTGTTGGGGTGTGGTTGCCATCATTTCTATGTTTTTGTGATCGATGTTAGCCATGTATGGTTCCATGATTCGTATGTTCTTCTTTTTCCCAACCATTCTTTTCTACCCAAAACTTCGGCTGCTCGGGAGGGAATTCTTCTTTCACTTCCATTTCCCTTCCCTACATTTCCAAACTTTATGACCATTCAGATCCTGATTGCCTCTTTTGCCTGGCCCTCGGTATATAACATGCACTGCTTCCTTCTGTGATTCCCATGTCCATTTGTTTATTCATTGGAAACCTACCATTTCATGTGACCTTTCTCCAATTACTGTTATGGGTTGGATTCGCCAGGTTATTTGCCTGGCATATTCTTCCCTTTCTCCAGAGGATTGTCACCTTTTTCGTGTTTTTCCAATCAAATCTATCACTTGACCATGTACCTGGCTGCCCATTTCTGTCTTCCTTTGGAGGACATCATCAGCATAGGTATGTGGACTACCCCACATACCTTTACATCTTGTAGCCATTTCATGTTATGTGGGTTTCAGCTTAACTCCAGTTGCCAATTTGCACACCTCTGTTTTTTGTGACTGGTAAGTACTCAGTTTCTTTTCCTCTTTACAGGGACCTCTTGCTACTCAACACCTGGGGGTCCCTTTTTTGGCCACCTCCATGTTTTGACAACATATTCCTGAAAGACAAAGAGTGTACCTGGTTCATAAGTGGTGCAGTCTCCCACTGTTGTGTTGTTTTTAATTCCTTACCACACCTCATGGTCTTTCTTTGTGTGCTTTCTAAAGGAGGATCATATTCTCACCAGCCCTCCACCAGTTCAATGTGGGATTCTAGCTTTTTGTGAGAGAAGGTAAGATATTGTATTGGAAGTTAACATTTTCCTAAACTGAAATGCTTCTCACCTCTCTTCCCCACTTTCAGTGTATTGGTTGACTTCGTCATGACCAATCTTGAAGTGATTAACAAGAGCATTATTAGAGAGGGCGATAGTTACGATAGGGGTAGTGTCTCACTTCTGTTGATGGAGGGTTGCTGCACGATCATTTGCATGTAGATATGCAGAAAGAAGGCTAGTGGTGAGCAAAACATTTGTGCCAAAAGAGGGCCGTACTAATCGAGAAAGCATTTCGTGAGAGAGGTAAGTATCTATTTGAAATACATTTTCAGTTTAGGAAAATGTTAACTTTCAACAGTTTCAAATGGAAAGCAGCACTTAAAGTGTTAAATTAGTTTTAAGAGGTTTGCATTAATTGAGCTGTTAAACTAATTTCACTTGATATGTAATACTTTATATAATAAACCGTATCTAAAAATCAGTTATTTTAAGTAGGTGATTGATGTGTATGAAAATGAAAAATACTTCCAAATGGTAATGGAAAAACATGGATCAGGAATGGATCTTTTTGAATTCATAGACAGGAGCCCAAATTTAGATGAAGCTTTAGCTAGCTACATCTTTCGGCAGGTAAGAAGTTACAAATTTAGTTCAGAGAAATGATGACATTCACTAGAGCTGTTGAAGTTAGGCTACTTAATCTTTAATCTCTATCTGTTTGTTAGTCATAGGTTTAAACTTCATAAATTACTCAAATATATATGATTATATAAATTACTCAAATTTATGATATCAAATAATCAAACTTTAATTGGACAAGAACTAAATTTTTTTTATCTGTTTTTAAATTACGAATACCTCATCAGCATTTAACGAGTAATATTGTTATGCCATGTTTTTCTATTGGTAAGTGTTTATTCTATACATTTTATGATTATATCTAAGAGTAGTACAATTTAACTTTTTAAAATTCTGCAACTTTTTATATTATAATATTAGGTAACATATTCTGTAAAATAGACTTTAGACTGTTAAAATTCTTTATAAATGTAAGTCTACGGATTTACAATGCTAAAATCATGGGTTTGATTCCCTTCGGGGGACACAGCAGATAGCCCAATGTGGTTTTGACATAAGAAAAACATACACACAAATACACACTCTTGATAAAGGCTTAATGAGAAAATTACTGAAGCATTAATTGAGCTTTTTTTATCTCTCTCATTTTCACATGGTTAATTTTTTCACTGGATATCTGAATTTTCACCATGTCATTTAAACTTCTGTAATGGAAAAAAGGTAGTCTCAACCTATGTTGCAATAGTATTTATTTAAAACAGGTTATGCAATCAGTTGGGGACTTATGAGAAAGAAGCCAACATGGTGATATCACATTCACATATAAAAGTATATACTCATACAAATAGTGAAATATTCAGCTTTATAATTTCACGATTTTTTAACTGTATTTATTCTCTTTAATCTTAATATTCAACGTAATCCTATCTTGAATAGTCATAGAAAACCAGCAAATTAACTAACTGATGGCTAACCCTAAGGCTTTAAAATCATCTTACTAATCTAGCAGAGAATCAGGTTTTATACAATGCTCTTACAAGGTCCTAACTGCTTTAAACATAGAAATCTGGTTTAAACTGGCTCATTAAATGTTGCTGAAATGTTTGAGGAACTTTATGGCCACCTTATGCACAACAGGATCCCTTTAAATCCCTTATTAAATCCTATGATTATATGAAGCAGTTCATTATATGATAAAATATTTATTTCTCAAAAATTGAGCTTATATTTTCTATGATACAAGATTTAAGTTATCAGTGTGCCTATCCAGGCTTGGCTAAAGAATGGTTTTTCTAATGACATTAATCACTCTTTTTGAGATTGTAGAAAGGTAATATTTTGAAAACTAGACACCTCAATAATTGATTAATCATCTCATTAATCAATTACATTAAACTAACCAACTATTCTTATATGATGGCTATAAAAACAAAAAACTTGTAATGCTAAAAATTAGATTTTGATATATATATGATAGAAAGAGCACAGATAGTTCATTGTGTAGCTTTGTTCTTAAAAACAAACAAACATGATAGTAATATTTCAGTTACTTGCATAGTTGGAATAAGCAGAAATAGCAATAATCAGCATAATTTCTGAAACGGTCTTACCCCTTACTTTATCTCGATCCTGATTTGCCCTCTAAGCATTGCTAAAAACATTTTCACTAAAAGTGCACCAGTCTTTAACACCTCATCAGTTTAGCACTATTTCAGAACATGTGCTGATCATATCACTACCCTCCACCAATCATACTCCACCATCTATTCTAGCGCAGCTACCTCCCTCTACTATTCTTGAACAATTCTCACTTTCTTGATTGGCATTCTAGTATATATACATGTGTTTTAACTCATTCTTTATGTGACTACATAATTCTAATTGTGCTTGATCACAAATTTATATCAGTTTTAACACCAAGTTTCGACTTCTTGTATTTGATTTTCATTATTTGTACTTATTTTTTTAGAAGTATTTTCAAAATTCGAATTTCTTCATATGAATTCGAGATTTAGCATGGTGGATGATGAAATTCCCACGATAGTAGACAATGGTTCTGACACAAGTCCCCAGGTATCACAGTTGACAATGTCTGCTTGGGAGGCACTGGCTTTAGTTCACGGGGAATTTGTTTTTGGCTGATGATTCCTTCCTTTCATGTTACGATTTTTTATGAGGAAGGATATAACTACTGAGTAGAAATTTCTTTCTATGGCACTTTCCATCAGTTACCGCATCTCCCTGTAATTTGCTGGGTTATGTATTGTTCTTTTTTTCCAGGAGATCTGTGGTAAGTTTTTCAGTGTTTATTCCTCACTTCCAGTAGGTGCACCCATGTTTAGCAAGTTTATGTGAGCTTGTGTGGAGGGACCAAATTTCCACATTCGACAATTTAGGTGTTTCATGTCCTCTCTGCTCAGTATTTGGTAAGTTAGATTGTTATAATTCTTTTACCATCTAAGTTACTTTAGTTTAAATTTGTATTTAAAGTTTGATTATTACTTTGTTTTTATTTAATTCTTGGTATATTTACGGGTTTTGCATGATCATTACTGTTTGGGTAATTGTAACTTTGGCTAATTTTGTGGGTGTTTTAGTTCGTTATTTTTACTTCTTTTCACTGCTTATGTTATTTAGTTTGTAAGTTCCTTTTTCTTTACTACTAGTCACATCTAATTGGGGATTAGATTTGAGTCAAAATTTGTTATTGTTAACTGGGTGCCTTTTTATTCGCATGTTCTTCAGGGTAGGTTTTACTTTCGTGTTCTTTATCTTATAGGTTCTTTGGGAGGACTTGTATGTATCACATTTACAGGTCTTTTATCTTCTAAGTTCCTTTCCAGGTGGTTAGGGTGCTTAACGCACAATCTAATTCCCCATCCCACCAAACATGCTCATCCTTTCAGCTGTGGGGGTGTTATAATTGAATGGTCAGTCCCACTATACATTGGTAAAAAGAGTAGCCCAAGAGTTGGTGGTGGGTGGTGATGACTAGCTCTCTTCCCTTCTAGTCTTTCATTGCAAAATTAGGGATGGCTAACACAGATAGCTCTCATGTAGCTTTGCAGGAAATTACAAAATAAACCAATCCAAACATGCACTAAAGTTCCTTTAGTGGTTTTGTAATTTTGGTGTTGCTTATTGTTTTATGTTTTAGGTCGAATTTCATAGTTTTGCAGGTTTGTTTGGAATAGTCTGAAACTGAGTTAACTGATAATTTAAATTTAGTAGTTAAATTGTACTTTGGATTTATTACTTAAATATATGCCGGTATATTAGTCAATTTACAATATTTGCTAACAAGATTGATACACAACGTCTTCGTTTTTAACACAAATACATTTTAATATACACACACAACAATACAATTTACAGTTACAATTATTGCTGATAGTTATTACAAACAAAGATTTATAAACAAAAGTTTCACAAACTTACAAACAATATAAAATCTTCTTTCTAGTGTGGA